CCGGAATCATCTTAGCCACAATGTTCACGAAGCTAGACAATTCCCCAAAAGGCGTCCAAGAACGTCTAGGATTCTTCGCGTTCGCAATGTCCACAACTTTCTACACCTGTGCAGAAGCAATCCCAGTCTTTCTACAAGAACGCTACATATTCATGAGAGAAACTGCTTACAACGCTTACCGGAGATCCTCCTACGTCCTCTCTCAATCCATAATCTCGATCCCTTCTCTCATCTTCCTCGCCGCAAGCTTCGCAGCCACCACATTCTGGGCCGTTGGTCTCGCCGGAGGCGCCAGTGGCTTCCTCTTCTTCTTCCTCACCATCCTCGCCTCGTTTTGGGCCGGAAGCTCCTTCGTGACGTTCTTATCCGGCGTCGTATCCAATGTAATGCTTGGATTCACCGTCGTCGTAGCGATCCTCGCGTATTTCCTGCTTTTCTCCGGATTCTTCATCTCCCGAGATCGGATCCCTCTCTACTGGATCTGGTTTCACTATCTCTCCCTTGTGAAATACCCTTACGAAGGGGTTCTGCAGAACGAATTCGAAGATCCGACGAAATGCTTTGTTCGAGGGATTCAGATTTTCGACAATTCGCCGCTGGGCCAGGTTCCGAACGCCGTGAAATTGAGTCTTTTGAAGAGCATGAGCGGTGTTCTGGGAATCAATGTGACGGCGGAGACGTGCGTGACGACGGGAATCGATATTCTGAAGCAGCAAGGGATTACAGATATCAGCAAATGGAATTGTTTGTGGATCACTGTTGCTTGGGGATTCTTCTTTAGGGTTTTGTTTTACTTCACTCTGTTGATCGGAAGCAAAAACAAACGGAGGTGATGAAACAGTTTTTTTTTCCTTCTGCTGAAAATCGAAAAAAAAAAGAAGAAAACTTTGTCGGATTTTAATTTTTTTCCCATCTATTTATTTGTACTAATACTTCTTCATTCTATAATTAATCAAGTTAATTAAAAAAAGTATACTTGTCTCTCTTGAATAAATCCATTGTTTACGAAGTAATAGATTCCAGGTTCTATTTTAGTATCTTCTTTTTATTCAAAGATAGCAAAATGCTTTATAGGACAAGAAGAAGTTAAAATACTAAAACGTCAAACCAAATTAAGGATTAAAAAACCTAAAATAAATATAAAATTGATAAAGAATCAAGGGAGAAAAACTCAATTTGCAAAGTGGTTCCCATTAAATCAAAATGCAATTTTGAGTCCACTTAATTCTAAGCTAATCTCAACTAATAATAATATTTCTTCAACAATATCCAGGCTGAATTTGATTTGTTTATCTGAAGAATAATTTAGAGTGGGTTGGTAATCAGTTACCTTTATATCCTAGAAAAAGTATATGCATGAATGCTTACTTCTATCAGCAATTTTGGGACCAGATAGGTGATGATATCACGATGTTGGTTCAGAATTTCTTTAACTCAGGCCTCATGGAAGAAGGAATCAATCAAACTCTCATATGTCTTATTCCAAAGAATCCTTCGGCGACGAGAATGTCCGAGTTCAGGCCTATAAGCCTTTCAAATGTGGCATATAAGATTATAGCGAAAGTCATGGCCTTGCGCTTAAAGCCACTCTTGAATGATGTTATCTCGGATTCTCAAGCTGCATTTGTCCAAGGCCGGCTCATCAATGACAATATCCTAATCGCGCACGAACTCCTCCATGCCTTGAACTCTAATAATAAATGCTCGGAGGAATTTATTGGAATTAAAACCGACATCTCCAAGGCTTTCGATCATGTTGAGTGGCCATTCCTCCGTATGGCACTTGAAACCTTGGGTTTTGATGAGAACTGGATCTACCTGATCATGAAGTGTGTCACCTCGGTTTCTTACCAGGTACTAATCAATGGGAACCCTTACGGAAACATCGCTCCTACTAGGGGTTTGAGGCAAGGGGATCCTTTGTCCCCTTACCTTTTCATCATTTGCACTGAAATGCTAGTTCGCTTATTGGCGAAAGCGGAATCTGATGGCAAAATTTCTGGCTTGAAGGTTGCCAGGTCTGCTCCTCCTGTTACCCATCTCTTATTTGCTGATGATAGTATGTTCTACTGTAAACAGGATGAGGAGGAGCTGAATCATGTTGTTAATATTCTGGAGGAGTATAGTCTTGCCTCAGGTCAAAGAATCAACTATCAGATATCCAGTATCTACTTTGGATGAAACATTTCCCCTTCACGGCGTAATGAGATCAAAATGATACTTAATATTGAAGAAGAAGGTGGAGAAGGAACCTACTTGGGATTGCCCGAATCTTTTGGAGGCTCCAAAGTTTCAATACTTGGATATTTGAAAGACAAGATGTCTAAAAGAATAAATGGATGGCAAAACTCCTTTCTTTCCAATGCTGGAAAAGAGATACTTTTGAAAGCGGTGGGTTTTGCTTTGCCAACGTATACTATGAGGTGTTTCCTGCTTCCCAAAACAACCTGTAACAAATGGCCTCTCTAATGGCGGAGTTTTGGTGGAAAAATGATAAAGAAAAGAGGGGAATGCACTGGAAGTCTTGGGAATACCTTTCTAAGCCCAAGAACAAAGGTGGCTTGGGCTTTAAGGACATTAGAGCTTTCAACATTGCACTTCTGGGGAAACAACTCTGGAGAATTATCACAAAGCCAGACACTCTCCTGTCTCGTGTTTTCAAAGCCAGATACTTTGCTAACTCTAACCCTTTATACGCTGGACCTGGCTCAAGACCATCCTATGCTTGGAAAAGCATCAGGACTGTGCAACCTCTTATCAGAAGAGGCATTCGAAGAACTGTGGGAAATGGCAAAAACATTTCGATTTGGGAAGACCCTTGGATTAGTCGCAACCCGGCAAGACCTCTTGAGGTAACTAAAAGCATCCCCTCATCATTACATCATAATGTTAGTGACTTGAAAATGGTGAAGGACCTTTTATTACCGGAGTGTCGTGAATGGAATTATGCTGCATTGGAGTGTTTCTTCTTAGAGAATGATAGAAGATTGATAGAGGAAATTAGACCTGGGGGAGAGAATAGTATCGATGGATTTTGTTGGGATTTTTCGAAGAATGGTCAGTACTCTGTTAAGTCTGGTTACTGGGCTCTGCAAAATAGTGTTGACAAGGATCAAAAACCAGTAGAGACTGATCAACCTAGTATCGAGCCTTTGTTCCAAATGATCTGGAAATTGGACACTAGCCCCAAGGTTAAACATTTCTTATGGCAATGCCTGAGTAATGCTATATCGACCGCGGCTAATTTGTTCTACAGACACATTGCTAATGACCTATCTTGTGCTAGATGTCAGATGGAAGAAGAGTCGGTGAATCACCTCCTCTTCAGCTGTACTTACGCCAGACAAGTTTGGGCCCTATCCAACATTCCCTCTCCTCCAGGTGGAGCTGTGTCAGAATCCCTCTTCACCAACCTTCATCGAGTCCTCACCATTCCACACTCTCATCCAAATGGCAAAGGTACCAATCCCCTAATGCCTTGGCTTCTTTGGCGGTTGTGGAAGAACAGAAACGAATATCTATTTAATGGTAAGGACTTTGATGCCCTTAGTGTGGTCAACAAAGCAAAAGAGGACACTGAAGAATGGGTTAATAGGTTGGATGAGGATGATAAAAGAGATGGAATTTCGGTTATACGAGAAAGTCGAACGCGATGGAAGCCTCCCCCCAGAACTGGATTAAATGCAACACTGATGCGACCTGGTCCAATAATGCTACTTGCTGTGGTATTGGATGGGTACTTCGGGATCATCGTGGAAGAGTTTTGTGGTTGGGAGCCAAAAAAATCCCGAAAACTCGAACCGTTTTAGAGGCAGAGTTGGAAGCCATGAGATGGGCCATTCTCTCTATATCTGCATTCAATTATGAGAGTATAATCTTTGAATCAGATTCTAAAGCCCTCGTAGATGCATTCTCTGATCATCACCAATGGCCCCTTTACTCTCCAATCATACAAGACATGCATCATTTGCTGAAACGGTTTAAGTTCCATCAGTTTGGCTACAACTCTAGGGAAGGAAATATCGTTGCAGACAGAATAGCAAAGGAGGCTCTTTCTTTTTTGAATTATGTCCCTAAGTTATATTTTCTTCTGCCCTTTTGGATCAAATCTTATGTTGAGAATGATTACAGTGTAACAAATATGTAATCCTTGGTGCAATGAAGTTGTTTTTGAGTTAAAAAAAAAAAGTATATGTTAATTTGTGTTTTACTGTAATTCTAATTTCTAACCTTTTTAGCCACGTTTAAGGATTAAACAAATCAATGCATTTTGTGGTTCTGAAAATCTCTATGTTATATGATTTCAATCCATTAATGGGCTTACTACTATTTTAGGCCCAACAGATTGCAAAACATTCGTTAAGATGGATTCTTATCTTTTTGTTAAACACCTTGCGTCGGTTTAGGAGACCACATCAAATCACTACCGTTGAATTTAGTCGGTTTAATGCGGAAGCCAATATTTATTTTACTCTTCGGCGTACCGACTTTGCTACCATACGCTGTTCTTCCCCCTTTCGTCTCGAAATTAGGGTTTCCCAGTGCTCTCCTTTACTCCCCAGGTATTAAAAATCTATGAAATCTGACTGTCTGGACTGTAATTTAGTGTTTTCTGAGCTCAGATTCAGGTTTTACATTGGTTTTATACTTCTGCGGTGTTGTTTTTGCTATGTTTCTGTCTTTCTGCTAAGAAGTTTTTCTGTCTTCCAAATACAAATTCATCTTCTCGTCTCTAATCACATTAGCTGAGTGGCGTTTGATTGAATTTTTACCCCTTTGGATATATTTCGAAAGATGCAAGTATTCTTGTGTAATCTATGTAAGATAGGTCTTGACTTAGTGAACTGATGCGTTGTTCTAGCCTTTTGATCCTATCTGTTAATTGAATTCCCAGAGACCATTGTGGTTTTTCTTCTTGTATCTGATTTTTTTTTCATTTTAATTTCTAACAAGTTATGCTCAAATTTTGTGGTTTATTCGTTTGTTTTTGTGTTTTATAGTTTGAAAATGCCTCGCTATGATGATCGCTACGGGAACACTCGTCTCTATGTTGGCCACTTATCATCCAGAACTCGTACCCGAGACCTTGAACGTCTTTTCAACAGATACGGAAGGTAACTGAATCTTCTCAATCTCCCTATTTATTAATGATTTCTTGATTTATGTGTTAGGGATAAATGAGGGTCTGAATGTGCTCTTTTTTTTTTTTTACTTCAATTTCTGAGAATTTGTTTGTTATAGTACGAGGAACATATGCAGAAAATTAACACCAAGTATAGAGTTTGCTTCTTTATCTCGCTCGTAATACACTGTGTTCTGATATTTATATACTTGAGGGAAGATTGTGGATCTAGGTTTAGTGTATGTTTTTAACCTGAATGATCTTATTGAAGGTCTCTGGGATTTTGCCTAACCTGGAGGTGTTTGATGAATGGTGTTTGATGAATGGGTGGACTTGGTGGAAATTCTCGCCAGGTGTATAGGGGTGCCTCGGCGATTCTGTTTTGTAGATTTTTTTCTAAGTGTTTGAATGAAAAGTGGAGATTCAGTCTCAAAATGGTGTTTAGCAGTACCTTAAAGTAACGATGATGGCCTTAATTTTCTGCCAATAATTTCTTCCGCAGAGTGCGAGATGTGGATATGAAGCGAGACTATGCTTTTGTTGTAAGTAAAATCTCCTTTTATCATGATGTTTTGATTTTTTTTTTTTTTTTTTTTTTTTTTATTGTTGTGAACTATGTATGGTGTTGGCAAATACACATTATGCATGTAGCTTTTTTTTTTTTTTTTGTGGCCTCATATTTGTGAAAACAGGAATTTAGTGATCCCCGTGATGCTGATGATGCGAGACATTACTTGGATGGACGAGACTTCGATGGAAGTCGCATCACAGTGGAGTTTTCAAGAGGGGTAAGTTTCTCTATTTCAGGCTTTATTGTTTGTTGTTTGTTTGTATGGCTTGAGTTTGTTCGTCAAAGTCATGGATATCATGTTTGTGTATGATAGGCACCTCGTGGCTCTCGCGATTACGATAGTAGAGGCCCACCTCCTGGATCTGGTCGCTGCTTTAACTGTGGTGTTGACGGTCATTGGGCTCGAGACTGCACGGCAGGGGACTGGAAGAACAAATGTTACCGCTGCGGAGAAAGAGGACACATTGAGAGAAACTGCAAAAACAGCCCCAAGAAGCTTAGGTATGCAATATTTCTCTTAACCTACTGTGAATCGTTTAGTTTGTTCCATTTTCTTACAACCTTTTTTCTTTGGTTGTACGATAGGCGGAGTGGAAGCTACTCCAGGTCACCTGTAAGATCCCGTTCTCCTCGTCGTAGAAGAAGCCCAAGCCGTAGCAGAAGCCTTAGCCGAAGCCGAAGCTACAGGTCAGTACTCTTCCTTGTAAATGCTTGTAAACTTCAAGAAGTTCTTGGTTTACATAAGCTTTCCGTAAGCTTTGTCTCTTGATTAAACCGTTTTAGCTCTCTTTTTTCATTTCTCTTCTATTCTTTATGGCCAGCCGATCAAGATCCCCGGTGAGAAGAAGGGAGAGAAGTGTGGAGGAGAGATCACGCAGCCCAAAGCGAATGGAGGACTCTCTATCGCCAAGAGGCAGAGATCGTAGTCCGATTCTGGATGATGAAGGCAGCCCAAGGATCATAGACGGGAGTCCACCACCATCTCCAAAGCCTGAAAAGCAAGACGGATCAGACCGTGATGAAGGTAGCCCACAAGACAATGGAAATGGCAGAAACTCTGTTGTCAGTCCTGTCGTGGGACGCGGTGGTGACAGCCCTAGAGAGGACCGAAGCCCCATTGATGATGATTGATTCCGAGCAGTCCCGGCTCTAAACCCATGGCCAGTGTGGCGACCAGTCTTTTTTTTTTTTTTTTTTTTTAATGTTTCAAAATTTGATATAAGAGACGCATGGATCTAGAGACGCATGGATCTATTACCCTTTTTTAAAAAAACACAGCAAACCTTTGATCTACTATCTTTTATTATCTAAACAATGATTGGCTTTTCAATTTCAGACACTTTTAAAAAAATTTAGACAATTTTCTTCAAAGGTTGTTGGAAGTATGGATAAGTGAAACTTCAAGTTGAGAAGACATGAGTTTGTAACTGGTAAGCTTTAGTGAAGAAAGATGGCCAACAGAGATACGTACACATGATGCTACTAACCGTGGCTGCTCCAACCATCATGTTCATGACTACGATCTGAAGCTGGATTGCTTCAAGAGGCGATGCACCTCCCATTATCATACCGGTCATGGCCCCCGGTAGCGAGATCAGTCCAACGGTTTTGCAGCTATCCAAAACCGGAGATAGAGATATTACCAAAGCCCTCTTCACCTGTTGTAGCGTCGCTTGTCTTGGCGTTGCTCCTAGTGCCAATGCTGTCTCCACCTTCGGTTTGTGACAAATCAATTAAACCAGGAATCTAATTGAACCGGGAATCTAATTGGTTAAGATTTTGTAAGTTGTAAAAAGGGGAATTTACCAACCAGGTTTAGTTGCATTTTGATGTCGTCTCGTAGCTGTTTCATGGTGACTCCGGTGACCGTCATGGCGTTTCCGACCATCATCCCGGCAACTGGGATGATATACCTCGGAGTGAAAGGAAAGACGTTGAGGACGACGAGAAGGAACATTGTGATTGCAGTTCCGGCGAGGATAGATACTCCGGCCACGTACTTTCCACGTGGCACGTGCTTTGCACGTTGTCCGGCGGTGTATCCGGCGACAGAGACCTGTCCAGCATCAAAAATTATTTTAATTAGAAAGAAAAAAAACAGAGCAGAATATTCTCCGATGCCTGATTAAATATCTCATTTAGGAATCAAATGAGATAGATTGAAAGTACTGACCATGAAGAGATAAGCGAGAATGATCCAGCCGGCGTTTTCCTGATTGAAGATGAACTGAAGAACAAATCCGATAACGGAGAGCTGAAGAAACGATCGGAAAACAGAGTAGATCATTTCTCCTTCCAAAGAAAGCTTCTGAGAGTAGGAAAGAGCCACCGCCAAAAGCACCACCGCGAGCGCCGCAAAAGGCTTCACCATGCCTTTGAGATACTCGATGAGCCATTCGTAATCCTTGAAAAAGGCTGCCCAATCAAGATCCATCTCTCTCTTTTTCTTTCTTTTCCCTTTTGTCCTCTCTCTAGTGGTGCTGTGGTGGAGAAGGGTATTTATATATAAAGAGGACAACTTGAAAAGGAGAAGACACTTTCTTCCTTTATTATCTCACGTGGGTCGAACCTCTATGCTCGAGTGATAGACAAAGTGGCTTAGCCACCTAGAGTAATCGAGACCTCGTCGAATCGATTCCCACAAGTTTTGTTTAAGGTAAAATATGTGTTAAATCCATGTGATCCAAAAGAAAATGAAAAAAGAATACTAATCGTGCAAACTAGTAGCTTTAGTAGTTAAATAAAAAAACTTCGTTCATGAAACTATATTAAATTTTAGATTCGAGAAAAGGACGTCCTATAGAACAAAGTCAAAAGAGCTGGAGGGTTTTTAGATGGAGATCTCTTGGTGCATTTTACCTCATTATACAGCTATATACATTTGATTACCTGTTGATTACTAAATTAGTGTTTTTCCAATAGTCAACTTTTCATTGGGTCCTACTGTCTATAAAAGAAAAAGATATTCTGGATATGTTATACACTATGATTTCTTCATTTATTTTGAATAATCTCACTGTTCTCCTTAATAGAGGTATACTGGCGTCATATTAGAGGGAAGTCCATGTGATCTACGAGACAATGAAGAACATGAACAATCTCTGGCAATCTACAATTGCTACCATCTTCAGCTTTAAACATGAAAACATCATTATTAATCTCGATCCAACTGCAACCTGGATTCGTCCTCAGTCCTTTATCTTTCATCACTTTCCTCACTATCGCCGCTTCTTTCCAATACCGGACACTGGCGTATAAATTCGCCAGCTGGACATGCGTGGCTGCACATTCAGGTTCAAGCATCAGCCGTTCCTCTGCAGCTCTGATTCCAGTCCACACATCGCCGTGTACACGGCAAGAGAAAAGCAGAGATCCCCATATGACCGGGTTTGGCTCCATTGGCATGTTCTCGATCAGCTCTAAGGCTTCTTGCAACAGACCAAATCTGCCAAGAAGATCCACTAGACAAGAGTAGTGGCTGAGTTCTGGTTTCAAGCCGTGTTCCTCCATGGAATCGAAGACCTTTCTTCCTTCTTTTACCAGACCTGCGTGTCTGCACGATGACAACACTCCTAGATACGTGATTGCATCGGGCTTTGTTCCGCTTTTGAGCATCATTACTTCAAAGAGCTCGATTGCTTGACTTGCAAGGCCGTGCTGCGCGTAACCAGCAATCATAGAGTTCCAAGAGACGACGTCTTTGTTACTAAACTGGTCAAAGATACAGAACGCATCTTTCAAATCTCCGCATTTGCAGTACATAGAGATGAGAGCGTTTGAGATATGAAGATAAGACTTGAAACCCATTTGGAGTGTTTGGCAATGAACACTTCTTCCTTGCCCTAAGGCTCCGCTTCCTGTGCAAGCGCTCAAGAGAGCCGTGAACGTGTAATCATTCGGAAAAGATCTCGAATTTCTCATCTTTGAATAAAGATTCAAGCAGATATCCACTCGCCATTCCTGCGCAAAACCTGAAATCATAGCCGTCCACGAAACCACGTTCTTCTCAGGCATTTCTTCAAACACTTTATGTGCATCGTCCAAATCACCGGAACCTCTGTACAAAACGACCAGAGAACTTCCAACGTAGACATCTGAGGTAAACCCACATTTCAAAGCTACGCAATGAAACCCAGAACCGCTTCGAAAATCTCGATTTGACCCACAAGAACTCACGGCGGACGACAAACCATAAGCATCGAAACTCCACCCATCTCGCTGCTGAATACTTGAAGAATCCTCCAGAAGAACTTGTTCCAGCACACTTGAAATTCTATTTTTGGTTCTTGAGAGGTCAAAACCCTCGGAAATTGCTTGATCTTTGAATTGCCTCGAATCTGTTTGCAGAAACTCCTTAACGATTCCAAGATGATTCTGGCGATTCGAACCTCCACAAGATTTCGAAGATATGATGTCTAAAACTCTCAGAGCGCGAGCTCGTCTCTCAATTTCAGTTGCCTGATTAGTTTTATCACGATTCAATGATCGACTGTAGCTGGATCGAGATTGGATATAACTGAAAGCTCGACAATAATATTTTCTCAGGCAAGACATGAAACTAAAAAGTCCGTTGATTCCCCAATGTTCCCTCGCTCTATATAAATACTTTTAGAAAGCGATATTTATGGGCCTAAGGCCTACTAAAAGGCCCATGAACTTGCCTCAATATATACAATGTGTATATCTCCGGTTTAGCTTTTGGTTAGAGATGAATGAAGGTGGGATTCGAAATTCAACGAGCCTGGCAAGGCCTGCTCAACACGGCGGCGGTTGACGGCGGCGCGTACGGTCACCTCATCCAGCACTTCACCCGTAAACGACTTCCTCTTCACGCGCTTCAGCTTCACGCGCGCATTGTCCTCTTCTCCATCAAGCCTGACAACTTCCTCGCTTCCAGGCTCATCAATTTTTACACCAGGCAGGACCGTTTCCGCCAAGCCCTCCATGTGTTCGACGAAATTACCGATAGAAATGCCTTCTCTTACAACGCACTTCTCATTGCGTACACTTCACGTGAGATGTATTTCGAGGCTTTTTCCTTGTTCTCTTCCTGGATTAGATCCTCTTGTTACTCTTCCAGTACAGCCAGACCTGATTCTGTGAGCATCTCTTGTGTGTTAAAGGCACTGTCGGGTTATGATGATTTTTGGGTAGATTCGCTGGCTCGACAAGTTCACGGGTTTGTTATACGAGGTGGGTTTGATTCCGATGTCTTCGTGGGCAATGGGATGATCACGTACTACTCAAAGTGTGACAATATCGCGTCTGCGAAGAAAGTGTTCGATGAAATGTCTGAGAGAGATGTCGTCTCGTGGAATTCAATGATTTCAGGGTATTCTCAAAGTGGGTTTTACGAGGACTGTAAAAAGTTGTATAAAGCGATGTTAGGTTGCCCTGATTTGAAGCCTAATGGAGTCACTGTAATAAGCGTATTGCAGGCGTGCGGACAATCAAGCGATCTTCTTTTCGGGATGGAAGTTCACAAGCTGATGATTGAGAATCATATTGAGATGGATTTGTCCCTGTGCAATGCTGTGATTGGTTTCTATGCTAAATGTGGTAGCTTGGATTATGCAAGAGCATTGTTTGATGAGATGAGTGATAAAGATTCGGTCACGTACGGGGCTATAATCTCAGGATATATGGCTCATGGGCTTGTCAAGGAAGCAATGGCTTTATTTAGTGAAATGGAAAACATTGGTGTGAGCACGTGGAATGCGTTGATTTCGGGTCTTATGCAGAATAATCATCACGAGGAGGTTGTAAACTCGTTTAGGGAGATGATAAGTTGTGGCTCTAGGCCAAACACAGTGACCCTATCGAGCCTTCTTCCTTCGTTGACATATAGTTCAAATCTGAAAGGAGGTAAGGAAATTCACGCTTTTGCCATCCGTAATGGTTCTGACAGCAATATATATGTCACTACATCCATCATAGATAACTATGCCAAATTGGGATTTCTCCGAGGAGCTCAAAGGGTTTTTGATAACTGTAAAGACAGGAGCTTGATTGTTTGGACGGCAATTATAACAGCATATTCTGTTCATGGGGACTCTGATTCTGCTTGTAGTCTTTTTGACCAAATGCAATGTCTTGGAACTAAGCCAGACAATGTCACACTAACAGCTCTTCTTTCAGCTTGTGCACACAACGGAGAATCTGATAAAGCGCAGCAAATATTTGATTCTATGATAACGAAGTATGACACTGAGCCTGGAGTTGAGCACTATGCTTGTATGGTAAGTGTTCTTAGCCGGGCTGGAAAACTTTCAGATGCGTTGGAGTTCATTCTAAAGATGCCAATTGAACCAATTGCTAAAGTTTGGGGTGCATTGTTGAATGGGGCTTCTGTTCTTGGTGATGTGGAGATTGCAAGGTTCGCTTGTGATCGTTTATTTGAGATGGAACCCGAAAATACAGGGAATTACACAATCATGGCGAATTTATACACTCAAGCAGGGAGATGGGAAGAAGCTGAGATTGTGAGGGATAAGATGAAAAGAATCGGATTGAAGAAAATCCCTGGAACTAGCTGGTTAGAAACTGGTAAAGGTTCACGAAGCTTCATTGCGAAAGACGATTCGTGTGAGAGAAGCAAAGAGATGTATGATATAATAGAGGGTTTGGTTGAGTCAATGAGTGACAAAGAGTGTATCATGAAAAAAGAGCTTGATCTTTCTTAAACATCTCATTTACATTTTCTTGCCCCTGAAGTGAAATGATCTCAAAGTCTTCTTTGGTGGGCTTCTCAAGAAGTTACTATGTAATGATTTGTTTTTTTTTTCCCCTTTTTTTTGTGGGGCTTTTCAAAGAGATGCTAATTTTGTTTTCCCCATTTTTTTGTTGTTGTGATAGAACATAACGTTGAATAGTTGGTAAAGTTCAAGTCCAAGCTATAACTTAAGAGTAATTAAGTGATTTTGATTGAAGTGGTGGGGTTCCGAAAGAGAATTAGAATATAACTCTATATGATTCATTAATGTGATGAAAGGGTTTCGGTAATTAGTTTGGTATAGGAGTGAAGTACAAGCGAGCTCAGTGTTTCAATTACTCAATATTGTCCTTGATTGTTGGTAATTAGTTTATCTAATTTGAGAAAAATACAAATCATATAGTAACTTATAGTGAGAGGTTGGGAGCATTAATTTTCTGCGTGACCACTAATGGTTATTCGATTGTGAAAGCCGATATAATTTCAGATCTATAGAGGGTCACAAGATTTTCCCCATCTCCTTAATTTATTCATTTACGGTACCGTCCAAAACTGATACTTGTATTGTTTTTGATATTTTACGTATGCAATGCCGCATAACACAAGAAGCAGAACAAACAAGTCAGATTTTAGTAATGATTTTACAAAAAATATTGACTCTTTTCGTATTGCTGTCATATTATGGACAAAGAGTTGAGTGACACTTGGTATAACTAGATTCGTATTACAAAATGGTAAAGATTTTAGTAATGGTTTTTTCCTTTGGAATTAACGTCAAAGAACATTATGGATATATATCTTATCATTAACAATCAGAATGAAACCGAACATATCTTTCATGTAAGACATAGATAATATAAAAAAAAAACTTGCAGAGAAAGGTTGACATATATTTTTCTCATGAGAAAGCTCTTGAAGCGAGAGATTTACCAACTCACGAGAATTGTAGATTTTTGTCACTTAGTCTTCCAAATTAACAATGGTAACAAAAGTCCAATCCCACACTGTCGTTTTGCTCACACCTACACTGTCGTTTTGCTAAACAACCTGACTTCTTTACGGTCCCTACACCACAGATTCTGTTTTTCTTTTAAAAAAAGTTCAAATTTTTAGAGGGTTTATCGGTTCATTTCTCTCCTCTCTCTCAAGTCCGGAGATTTGGATCTGGATCTGTTGTTTAACTTGAACTTGGAAATATTTTGAATTTTCTTTAAAAGATTGTCGTGGTAAGTTGATTTTAAAGTTATGATGTTGATATGTTCCTTATTGAATGGACAATAAATTCAAATCATAATGACATGATCTAACAACACATTGGTCTTATTATTGTTAGTTCACCTTTTTGCAGTTATTTCTGAAGTTGAGCTTTAAGCTTTTACCAATTTGGTTCTGGTTTAACCAAAAAAAAAAAAAACAACAGTATGACAATTGATCCCTTCAATTACAACACAAAATGCAGGTGGGTTTCTCTCTCTCTCTCTCTCTCTCTCTCTCTCTCTCTCTAAATTTATTTGTATATAAGTAGTATGGTGTATTTTTTTAGAAATTCTGAAAGTAAGAAGATGGAGGAAGAAGACAATGAAGGTCTGAGAACTGTGGAGTGTCTAAGAGGGAGACTACTTGCAGAGAGGCAAATTTCAAGGTCTGCAAAAGAAGAAGCAGAGCTCATTACCAGAAAGGTACATAAAATCCTAAGTTTCCCTTTCTCAAAATCTGGGTTTGATCAAGACTGAACCAAGAAAGAGTCATTCTTGTTACTTTAGTACCAAATAGAGATTCACTTGCTCTGTTCTCTTTCCGAGTATGATCTTGGACCAAAAAGGAGATGTTTTAAAAGTAAAACACTGATTTTTTTCTCAAAATCTGGGTAAAAAGCTGATTTTGTTTTTAAAGCCAACCTTTAATATCTTGGAATCAGATGGAAGAACTAGAGCGTCATCTGAAAGAAGAGATCAGACTAAGGGAAAAAGCAGAGAAGAGACTAAAGTTTCTGATGAAAAAGCTCGAATTTATTAAAGGGTCACGCAGTTTGGAGGGATCAGAGCAATTGAGTTCATCTGAAGTTTCCTGTTTATCATCGGTTTCCACCTCAGCCTCCAAGGAAGAAGAAGAAGTAGAAGAAACTCAAGAAAATGGAGCTGTGGAGGAAGATAAAACTGATCAAGCAACTGAAAATGTGGCATCAATGGAAGAGGTTTCAAGTTCAAATCTCAAAGATGTTTCCTCTGGTGAAGCAAGTGTTGTTGCTTCAACCTCAAGTCATGAAGAAGAACCACAGTCTGGTAATGATTTTTCTTGGTACTCAGATACAACTTAAAGAGTTCAAGAATCAAGAATCAAGAATATCCATCTCTGATCCTCTAATCAACCTTGATCAGAACCGTTTCTCGTAGTGGGTCATGACTCATGAGCTTACTAATACTGTAGTATACTACCTTTGTGAAAGGCATGCAATGGAAAGGGTCTAGAGAACAATGGAGATAGAGAGGGAGAGGAAGGAGAAGGGATTAATTAGGCTTTGGGACACATTTGAGTTTGGCAGTATTAAATTCGAAGTGTTACTAAGAGATGGGGAGGACGACACGACACACATAATGTCTGTCTCCTTCTCTTCTTGTGTTTTTTGTTATCAAAGAACGAGAGTGACGTTTCTTGGAAACTAGTGATGTGACTGAATAAAGGAAGCACTATACTATTCATTGCGATTGCAGGGATGGGCTTGTCTTTCTTTTATTTTTCATTTCTGATCAAATCTCAATAATAATATTCGAAGTTTTAAACCATGATCAGTTCAAAGGTCAAGAGTGACACTATCTTGAATCTTCCTACGAATGTGTTTATTTAGTTAGAGCTCTGTTACTTCACTATCCATTCATTTTTTAAATCAAGAGAATTTAAAACAATAGAGATTAGCAGGCTGATATCGATTGCATGACCATAATCATGGTTAGCCTCGGTGTTTAGATGTATAATTAGAACCTCAAAATAGACTTAGTGTAGTTAAGTCGTCCATTTCAAGAATTGAAACAGATAATGAATTACAGTTTTGGTTTATCGTCAACTACGCAGAAGAACAACCAAATTGATCCCAAAAAGTTTAAGCTTTGATGTGATCAATTCCAAGTTCGGTTTGTTTTGGACGTTTTTCTTTCTACATTGAAATGATGGTAGTGAAAGTTAGGATTTTTTTTTGCTTAAGTTAGATTTCCAGTGCCAAAAAAAAAGGGAAAATTTTTTTAAAATACCTGAAGTTATTAACATTTGCTAGAAAAATACCTAAACTATTTAGGCTCTCCAAAAAATACCTAACATATTTTAAAGTTCTATTTTAATACACAGACTTTCAAAATTTGAAAGTTTAACTCCACAATTTTGACTCCATTTAATTGTAAGCCGAAAACCGTAGAACGCCGTTTAATTTTTTACACGATGTATCTGAAAAGACATTATTACCCCTAAATTAATTTTGTCCAAATCGACAAACCCTAATTTCATTCTTCTCTCTTCTCTCTTCACTTCTCCTTCTCTTCTTTCTCGATGTCTTCACAGACGTGAGAATCTCTCTTTCTTCCATTCTCTTATTCATCAGATCTTCTCTTCTTCTCTTACCCATCGTCTCTTCACTTTCCCTCTCTTACTCATCTGTTGTTTTTCCCAAATCTATTTTGCCCCAAATCAAAAGAAATCTTAAAATTGATTTTCAATTTCCAAGCACCAATTGTCGAATCAATTGGTTTTGGGTTGCATGATATTTTCCAGTGATACAATTATTTTTAACGTAAATTTCCATTTTGGAAGAGTAATTTTAGAAGAAAGCCAACATGTTCACATATACTATTAAAATGAAATAGTCATCAACCCAAATTATCTGAGGAAATCGAAAGAGAAGAGAAATGAAATAGAGAAGATAGAAATTAGGGTTCTTCGATTTGGGGAAAAACTAATATATGTTTAAATCGATTTATTAGGGATAATAATGTCTGTTTGGATTAGTAAGAACACGTGGGATTAAAATTTAAACGTCGTTCTATAGTTTCTGTTTAACAATTAAACGGTGTCAAAATCATAGTGTTAAACTTTCAAATTTTGAATGTTTGTGTATCAAAATAGAACTTTGAAATATGATAGGTATTTTTAGGGAGTCTAAATAGTTCAGGTATTTTTCTAGCAAAAGTTTTTTCCCAAAAAAAAAAAACATACTTCCCAAAACAGAGGATATAAGATTTTAGATTGCCACCAGAGTTTTACATTTGTTTTTGTAAGAAACAGACATAAATAATAATGAAAAAAATACGGAGATTTATTTCTGTAAACGTTTCAATATTCTTGAATGGAATGCTTGAACTAGAAGAAGAAAGATCCCTTTATTTATTTAATTTTGTTTTCTGATGAAAAATAATATAAAAATAAAAAATTTCGATCGTGCATGACCGATCATGGCGGAGAAACACTTGATTGTCGTCCACAACTTCCTCAAAGACAGGTGATTTCGACTTTGTATTAATCCGTATTTAATTAATATAATCTCCTGATTATCGGTAATCTCAATCTCTCACGTTGACGATTTCTCGATCTATCATTTGGGGGTCTCTCGAATCCTAGAATTTCTTTTCTTCTTTTGAATCTCTTACCATCGTTTCGAAAATGATTTGTTGTTAATTTAAATGTTAAAATCATTAAGCTGTCTATAGATTAATGCAAAAAATTTCGTTCGAAACTTTGTAAGTGTGCGTTGTAATGTAAAGTAAAGATAATGGGAATTAGAATCAGTCTTCTTTGTGAAATATGTTGTTATCTTTGGTGAGCAAACGCTCACTGGAGGTAGATTCCAGGTAGGTTTTTCAATCATTTTTGAAAATTTTGTGGTTAAATGATTATACATTTATTGTTGTCATCACGAAGAATTTGATTAAACAGGGACGCCTATGGATTTGCCTTGAGACCTCAACACGTTCAGAGATATAAAGAATACCTTAGCATCTATACGGTGAGTGAGTTCTTGCTCATGCTTCATTTACTGTCTCAGATAAATAGTAGATGATAAATTGGCATATTGTACATAAATGAGATCATGATGGATAATAGAACTGTTATAGCAACATGCAAGCTGCTAGAGAGAGCATCATAAGCTTACTTTGCCTAAGAAATGCAGTGTAAACTGGAAGAATGGTTGTTGATACAGTAGTCAACTGATACTGAAACGTTTATGTCTTATCTAATCTTAATACTACTGGAGTAGGAGGAAGAGACAGAGAGGGCAGAGAAATGGAAAAACTTCCTTGACCGGCTACAAGATTCTGCTGCACTTAGCTCCTCGGAAGATGAGTTTCAGGAGGCTGATGGTCCGGACTCTGGAGAGGAGAGTGCTTCAGAGGAAGTTTCAAGAAACGGTAAACATGACGAATGTAAACTTGATGGTACAAAAGTGCAGCATCTTGAACAAGATAGCCCTGAATCAATTGGTGAGCTTTCAAAAGAGAGAGGACCAGCCGAGGAGGCGAAGGTTCCTGAAGAGCACAAATACTTGAGGGAGAAGAGTCTTGGAAGATACAGCAAACCTGTGAAGGATGATGATGAGGAGCAATATGATGAATCTGAGAAAGAGAAGGAATTTTCAGTCAAAAGTGAAAAATCTGACCAAGAGCGTGATAAATCTCAATCAGTAAAGGAAGCCGTAGATAATGTACACCTTCATCAAAAAAATGCAACGGAAAACCCTGTGGTTGAAGCAGATAAATGTGGATTGGAACATGAAAAAGGATTAAAAGAAACAAAGACCCGTTCGGTTATAGAATGGGCTCATAATAGTCCTTGTCTTGCGTCCATAGAGGCCATGATGTGCAGTCGTGTTAAGAAGGTAAAGAATATGAAAAACAGGAAGAACACTTTGGAAGGGGACCATGCTTTATCAATAAAAAAATCGCTGCCTTCCATTGGAGAGTCTGAACAAAAATCTGGTGAAAATGACCGTGACAGTGAGACTTCCACGGGTGGATGTGATTCAATTAAGGAAGAAAACGATGCTCACTGTAGTGATTCTCCAGAGCCATTTTTCCCTTGGTATGAAGAACTTGAGGTACTTGTTCGTTTGGGAGTGCCAAAGGATCTCAGAGGGGAGGTAATTTTATACATACTAAGTCATTGATTTTACCATCTCAATAGAATAAATTTACTACTCGTGCCTAACTTTTGCACTCACAGGTCTGGCAAGCCTTTGTAGGTGTAAAGGCAAGACGAGTTGAGGGATACTATCAGGACTTGTTGGCACAAATAACTGACTCTGATGAAACCAAAGAACATCCTAGCTCATCTGAAATACAAAGAAAATGGAAAAAACAAATTGAGAAGGTCGATTAGATGCATACATGTTGTTGGAATTTATCAATGCCACCGAGATCACTTCTTATGCTTATTTTTTTTGTTTTTAATTCTTCAGGATATACCTAGGACATTCCCAGGTCACCCTGCTTTGAATGAGAATGGTCGAGATTCCTTAAGGCGGATACTCCTAGCTTATGCTTGTCATAACCCATCTGTTGGCTACTGTCAGGTGCTGGCAAAGCACATTGTGCTGTTTTGTTATAGCTATTTACTGAATACATAATTTGAAAGTATGTTAAAGTTGTAGCTGTTTTTTGTTTGGTTCTCAACTGGTTCCTATAATGCATCTCTAATCAGGTTTACGCCATGATCATCTTTCTCATATATAAACATCAGTAAAGTTTCAACTAGCTATTTATACGGTGAATGAATCAAACGTATACAGAATAGTTTTGTAGCACACTACTATTTGCCAGGTCTGAAAGACCAATGAATCTGCTGGTTGAATTCTTCATAACATTACGTTTGATTCTTTATAAATTGTTACAATTGTTTCAGGCTAAGCTAATAATAACCCTGAAAAACTGCAGGCTATGAACTTCTTTGCTGGATTGTTGCTTCTGTTGATGCCAGAGGAAAATGCATTTTGGTAGGGTCAATACTAAATCTTTCCTATTTTTCCAACGCAGCATTTCAGAAAATGATGTGGGTTTCTGATCAAGAAACTTCCATCTCTACACCCATTTTTATATATGTTGATGAAATTTCTCAGGACTTTGGTTGGAATTATTGATGATTATTTTGATGGCTACTATACAGAAGAGATGGTAGAATCTCAGGTGCCTGTTTCATCCAGAGGGCTTCTGTTTAATTCTCCTTAAACCTTTCTGAAAGATGTATTTTAATCACCAATTCGGATTTACTTCTTCTAGGTTGATCAACTAGTCTTTGAAGACTTGATGCGAGAAAGATTTCCAAAGCTTGGTTCGTAAAATTCAAGTTTCTTTTCATTTATTTGTATTTTCCCCCCATTATACAGAGCAATGTGATCGTTTCTCCTATACCAAAAATGCTTCTGGTGCAGTTAATCATCTGGATTACTTGGGAGTGCAGGTAGCATGGATATCTGGACCATGGTTCCTATCTATTTTTGTAAATATACTTCCTTGGGAATGCGGTGAGTTCTTAGCAAAATCTCTGCATTCATGTTATGCCAAAAGAATAACATTACACATCCGAAACAAGAAGTTTTTGTTTTTGTATTTGATCTTGATGTTTTTTTGGGGCCAGTTCTGCGGATGTGGGATGTGCTTCTCTTTGAAGGAAACCGTGTAGTGTTATTCAGAACAGCTTTTGCTTTAATGGAACTATATGGTATTGCTGATACTTGTGTATGTATCAAATGTGATATCTTAAGTGTGTGATGATTGAAGGAAACATATTTTCAGTCACTCTTTTTATTTCCATAGGTCCTGCAATTGCTGCCACACAAGACGCAGGAGATGCGATAACTTCACTACAAACACTTGCTAGTTCAACGTTTGATAGCAGTCAACTTGTTTTGACCGCTTGCATGGGTTATTTATCTACAAATGAGGCTAGACTGGAAGAGCTTAGGGAAATACATAGACCAGCTGTACTAGAGATTGTTGAGGAAAGGATACACAAAGGTCGAGTTTGGAAAGACAAAAAGGGATTGGCTTCTAAGTTATATAGCTTTAAACATGAAGGCTCAATCCTAGACGAACAAAAGCCTACTCAAAGGAGTGACGGTGAGAATCCAGATGACGATGAATCTCGTGCTCCCAATTGTTCCCTGAACCTGGATGGCTCAAATGTTGATTCAGAATTAGACTCTCTACCAGATCTTCAAGAGCAGGTGACTTTTTTTTTGTTCAATACTCTTTCCCTTTCTTTGGCAGCCTCTTATTGGTTATGCGTGTCTGAGACATATCAGTTTTAACTTCCACAAGAGTTCTGTAACTGGCTCTTTTATATGAATGGTGGTAGTTGAATGTCATTTCTGTTTCAGACATGTGTAATCAGGCTTGTGGTTTATTATGATTGATATGAGCAATCTATATAGATGCAACTCCTTTTAAATTTCATCCATAACAGTTATTGTGCAGGCGGTATGGTTGAAGGTTGAACTATGCAGACTCTTGGAGGAGAAACGATCAGCTGTATTAAGGTTGTTATTGTTACCTAAGAGAATGTCTTTGATACTGTCTGATTTGATTAAGTCCAAACATGTGCATATTACACAACTTCATTTGTTGCAAGACAGTGGCAAATCGAAGAATGAGTGTCCTGAAAAACTTTGGAACTAATCCTATGTGTTATTCCTCTGTACAGAGCTGAGGAGCTAGAGATTGCTTTGATGGAGATGGTTAAAGAAGATAACAGACTGGAATTAAGTGCACGGGTAAATTTAGACTTCCTTCAGAGAGTGTTATAATTAGCAAGAGGAAGCTTCATAGAACATTTTTACTGCATATTGAGATTTCTGTTTCATGGCATTTCAAAACGTTAAGCTCTACATGATTTTAAGTCGGTGAACATCACTGATAGACAAATCTGTTACAAAATGTCTGAAATGCTATTTTGGGACACAAGAATGTATATTTTGATAAAACTAAATATGTAAACACTTCAACGTCACAGATTGAAGAACTGGAAAAGGAAGTCATAGAACTAAAACAAGTGCTTTCTGACAAAAAAGAACAAGAAACAGCTATGCTTCAGGTCTGTTTCATTCATATATCCGTTTTTTCCACAAGTGTAAAGTACTGCATTATCGGTGTTTAAGCCCTATATTTCTGTACAACTAATCTTGATCTACCTTCTGGCGCATGCTGTAGGTCCTGATGAAAGTAGAGCAAGACCAAAAGCTTACAGAAGATGCTCGGTTAAGTGCAGAGCAGGATGCAGCTGCACAAAGATATGCAGTACACGTGCTTCAGGTGCTTCGGTTCATCTTTGTCTGAAATAAATTTAGATAAAACATGCAATCAGAGATACATCATCTTATTGATTTTAGTGACGATTCTTCGTACACTGCAAACTCATTACATTAAACTACTATTTTGCGGCTCTTGCCCCAAAAATTTCTAATATGCACAATGTCTTCATGTCAATACTGATACAGGAAAAGAATGAGAAGCTTGTGGCTCAACTCGCTCAAATGGAGAAGAGAGTAGTTACAGCAGAAACAACGCTAGAAGCTACTCTGCAATATGAATCTGGTCAAAATAAAGCTCTATCGTCTCCAAGGTACATCAAAACTCAGTTCTTGTCTTTCTCTTTTCTTTGGCTGCTTTTGATCTGTACAGATCTTCCAAAACCTGGCAACACTCCAGAAACAAAATCTACCCACATAGCTCTGTTTTTTTGTTTTCTTTATAAGATGCTTAGTGTGTTGTGCACCTTCATAAGTCTTCAACGTTGTATAGGTTTGCTCGGACTCAAGGTTCTGCACAGGAGACCCTTAAAAAGAAGACAGGCTTCCTATCATTTGGGCTTGGATGGCGCGAGAGGAACAAGGTGAAGTAATAAACACTCTCAAGCTGATGTAATATACAGCTTAGAATCGTTTTTGTCTCGTTGAATGTATATACTTGGCTTTGTTTTTCCTCTCCCTCTTTTCATTTCCAAAACTTTTTAGACTGATGCATCTATATGTTCCCTAGTGTTATGAAATCAGCTTACCTTACTAATGTAATGGTTGAAGTAACAGGCAACACAATCTGAAGAATCGAATGGTGATAACACTAGTAATGCAACATCTAAAACCAAATCCGAAGATCTTTTAAATCTGGAGACAAGACGCTAACCGATAAAGAGTCTTCACTGCAAAACATTTTGGTAATTTCCTAGCATCACATGGACCTTCATTTGATGTCTCCGCCCATATTTTAGCTTCTTTTTTGCTTATCAGTTACTTGCAATAAGAGATGCGATTGAGCTATAACGCCAAATGCGTATAACATAGATGCCTAGACAGATTTAGAACTATCAATATTGCTTTATGCATATTGTTACATGATTCATGCAACTACCCTGTGGTGTCTGTGGAGTCGTAAAAACTTTTCAGGTTTTATGAATAACAAATTTTTTGTGTTCTCAGGATCCTGATCAGCCTGCTAAATATACTTCTTGGGGGATCGTTAAGAGGCTGATGCGTTGTCGGAAACTCATTTTTTGATGAAGTTACTCTAAGCTTTGTTTCTCAAGGCTTCCATCTTCAGGAGCTTGATATCTGCTAACATTAGATATGAAGCAAATCTTTGTATCAATTTTCTTGATCAATCATGATTAGAATAGTTTAAGATGCACAAAAGAGTAATTCATATTTTTAAGTATATTTTTCATATATTAGCTGGCATAATCTAGTTTATTATTGTCATAACCTAGTACCCTGTGGTCTTGCTTATACAAGTTTTTGACCGTGTATAAAGAAAGCATCGGGTTGGTGTGTGATCGATCATCGTTTTTGAAAGTTGAGTTTGGCAACAAAGAAAGCAAACATAGAAGCCAATGCAATTGGGAATGCGATGAGAACAGTGGCCGTAATCATCAAACGATCATGATGGAATCCGAAATAGTCCTCTAAGAATCTTGAAACCGTCGTGGATTCTCCAAATGCATTGATCTCTTCATGAATATCGCCGTACTGAGACGACAAAAATACGTTGAGCGTCCAAGAGGTCGGGGTCAGATTGTAAAGCCAAACCCACCACTTTGGGATTTGCTGCATTTTTATCAAAATCAAGAAAACAGTGATTAAGTATAAATAAACATCAAATATGATGACTTGTTCAAAAGATCTTACCGGTCCAGGAATCAAGAATCCAGCAAAAAGGTTGAAAACAACAAAGAAAAGCGACTGGAGAATAGCTGCGACCATGAAGTTTGGAGTGATGGAGATGAGGAACAATGCGAGGTAGTTGAAGCAGAGCAAGTTACAGAACATTGAGTAGAGACACCAAAAGACTTTGTAGGCAGACGCGTATAATCCCATCATAGGATATATAACGATCACAAACTCTGCGCTTTGGATGAATATGTAAGGAATCTCAGTCACAACCTGAGCAAACGCATAAGCAAACGCAGAGTACATTCCCGCAAATCTTTCGCGGTACATAACATTACGCTCTGTCTCAAAATACTGCAAAGCTAAAGAGCAGTTGTTTATCCCCAAGAAAAGAACAAGACCATAAACGGCTCCGAGAACTGTAAACAAATTCTGTTGAGTATCTCTGCCAAAACATACAAGAAGTGAATAGAAAGTATAATGAAACTAATGGTTTGCGAGATAAATGGTTGGGGATGGAGATTTATGTAACTTACATCTTTTGGCCTTGCTTCCAAAAGAGTACACCAAAGATCAAAGAAGAGATTAGGGTGTGAGCGATTCGGACCAAGTTGTAAGAAGGACTTCTCCAGTAAGACAAACTCATCTTCCATAGACAAGATTTGAACTGTCCCCACCAGTTCTGTGCAAAAGTTCTCTCGAAATGCAAATCGCTTGACCCGATCTCCGGTTTTCTCAGCTCTTTAACAAGCTCGAAGTTGCTCCTGCCGAAACAACACATGAGCTCATTAGCCATGACTCTCCGGGCTTAAGTTGTTTTGAGAAATACTACTACTCACTTGTAAAGATCCGATTCGTGGTAGATTTTTGCGAAATCTATGTTGAGTTCAGTCTCTATAGACTGTGAAGTAACCTCTAGCATCCATGTTGCTGGATTATACTTGTCTTTAATCTTAGCAACTCCAGGGATACTCTGTTATATTTGCCCCCACAACAATAACAAAACAATTATTCTTTCCTTATTTACATGGACCATTGTAAGCAGTTTCAGATCACTGAATTGGCTTTTGTTTGCTGTGAAGAAGAAGAAGATAACCTGAAAATATTGAATGACATGAGAAGAATATTGTCCAAGTGGTCCTGTGTAAATCATGCGACCTCCTCTCTTTAGCAGTACCAACTGGAATTTTTTTTTTGTTATGAGAAATAAAGAAATGATATTACCAAAAATACCTTATGAATATTCAATTCAAGTAGCAAAAAAATTCGAAAATGATTTACCTCGTCGAATGCTTCAAAGATGTCGATGCTGGGCTGATGAATAGTGCAGACGATGGTCCGTCCAGTCTCTGCGACGTTCTTCACAGCTCTCATTACAATGGCGGCTGCTCTTGCGTCTAGCCCCGTCGTCGGTTCGTCCATGAATATGATCGACGGATTCGCCACCAACTCCACCGCCACCGTTAACCTCTTCCTCTGCTCCGTCGACAATCCACTCGCTCCGGCGACTCCCACCATCGCGTCCTTGATCTCCTCCAGCTCGATCGTCTCCATAACTTCTCTCACGAATCTCTGCACCGAATTTTTCAGGCGAGTTCTGCATTTAATTAATTTTTTCGATTTCAGCACGAATCAGTGTTGATTTAGGGCTTACGATTTTGGTTTTGGGATCGATTTCTGGAACCAGACGGAGCCAAGCGGAGTAGATTAGGGATTCCTCGACGGTGATATTTGGTGAGTGTATATCCGTTTGTTCGCAGTAGCCTGAGACTCTTGCGAATGTTTCCTGCACTTTTGGGAATCCGCTGATTCTGATGTCCCCTTCGATGTATCCGCTTGTTTTTCTTCCGGCGAGAACGTCGAGCAGAGTGGTTTTTCCGGCTCCACTGATTCCCATCAACGCCGTTAGAACGCCGGGCCTGAATGCTCCGGTGATGTCTGAGAGAAGCTGCAATTTCTTCCCAGCTGCAATCTCCTGAAATTATTGAACATTGACATAAGCAAAGATCCATGGAGTGATGAACCAAAGAACTTGCAGAAGATTTTACCACAGGGACGTCGACGTAATAGTTCAAGTCTTGAAAAGTAATGGTAAGTGGCTTGAAAGGTAAGACCATTTTCCCTGAATCCTCGTTTGTCTTCACTGAGGAATCTATTGTCCTTTTCTTCTTGATTGATGAATCTTTTGTTCCTTGCAGCTCAGAGAGTTTGTCTTGGGAAATCATCGCGCGGTATGATGTGGGAGCTGTCATGTGTTCAAAGAATCTCTTCAGTATGTGCTTTCGTCTATGGCCTTTTTTTGTCGAGAAATTTTTATTAACTTACGTTTTAAGAAACTCAGGGCAAGAGTGAAAATGGTGTTGAAGATAACACTGAGACCCAGCAAAGCACATAATGAGACCCAGAACATGTATTCATCGTAGTTCAGTCCTCGGCTTTCGAGTATGGCTCTCCCCAAGGTAACATTTGTTGGTTGCATCTGTAAACAGAACCGGAAAACTGATTAGTATTGGAGGCTGAAGTAAACTTCTATGATTAAGAGAAACGAGTAGGGGAACAGAGAATCACTTGCTGCCATCGTGGAGCAAGAAATTCGTTTACAGAGAGCCCAATCTCGGCGTAACTTATAGGATTTGCCCAGAAACCCCACTTGAGCCACCTTGGCATATCAGCTGCACCAAACCAGTGTCATGTTTTGATGGAACTTTGGAGCATAAATAAATATAAGAAAGAGCGCTGAATTCTTACTGTATGGGATGACGAAACCGGCGAATACAAAAGTGACTAATACGGCAATAGTACCAGCTTCCATTGAAGCAACTCCAGTCTGAAAGACTGCAGCTATACACCGGAACATGGATATGGATGTGAAGTGAACAGCAAAGAGCATGATGAGTTGTCGGAAGAACCTGAAACATCAATGATTATTTACTTTCCATTGTCATTCTCAAGCTTAGATGTGAATAGCGAGCAAGCAAGTGATGGTTTAAAGCTCTTACCGGGAGGCTTCAGGAGCGTATCCGATGACATAGTAAGTAAGGCAGGTCCAAACCAGAGATTCAAGTAAGGATAGAGGGACCTTTAACACCGTTGCAGGGATTGCATAAGCCCAAGCTGGATATAAACATAGTTGCTTCTGCTTGTAGAACACGGCAAGGCGTTGAACAGTCATAGACAACTCTGGAAGACCATCAACCAGAAGTACGATGATTGCAAAAAAGAGACAACCCATGTACGAATTTCCATGAATGATATCTATGCCCATCCGTGTACGAATAAACACAGTCATAGTGATGATTGCGAGCAAAACAAGCTGCACAACATAAAAGCAAGATGGATTCTTTAGTATTAACGCTAGAATCTTGTAAGAAGGAATAAGGAGAGAGGTATCTGCAATAAAAAGTCTCAATGTAACCTGAAACGTCTTGAAGAGGTAGACGAAATAGTTTCTCTTCATGAGAAGAAACTCTCTTGAGATGCATGCTCTGAACAGCTCCCAGTTTGGCAGAGAATACACATCGAAAGAAAGAGCATCCTTATGGGTTTTTGATCTATCATATGGCTTTGAGAGGGCTTCCTCAATCTTTCTCCCAATCTCTAAGTCCTTGAATCTCTTTGAAAATGTTTCTACTGAGACAAATTTATGGGGTACATCTTGGTGCAGCCAGTACTGTCCTTGGTCCTTTATAGATAGAACCTGCAAAGAAAAAAAAACCTCTATGTGTGCTGTGGCATTGAAAGGTAAGTAAGTGCCAGGGAACAAAACTTTGGCTTTTTTTACCTCTTGGAGAAAGTCTGCTACACCTTTCCTTTCTGGGCATCGAAATCCACACTCCTCGAAGAATTTCAAGACTTCGTCGCGTGGACCGTGATACACAATCTTTCCTTCAGCCATCAGGACAATATCGTCGAAAAGGTCATATGATTCTGGAGCAGGTTGGAGAAGGGAAACAAACACAGTTGCATTGGTAATGTGAGCCAGTTGCTGAAGAGACTTGACAATCTGAAAGGCCGTGGAACTGTCTAAGCCATTTGTTATTTCATCCATGAACAGAGATTTTGTTGGACCAACGATCATCTCAGCTGCAAACACAGTTTTTCAGTAAAAAAACAGAGCCGTTTTGCAGGATTCCTAGCTATGAATCAACCTGTGGTAAGTCGCTTCTTTTGCCCCCCGGAAATTCCTCGTCTCATCGCATTTCCAATCAATGTTTCTGCACAAATGTCAAGCCCCAGAATCTGAAAACGCAATACAATACATAAGTAAGAAGCTAATCAAGAAGGACTAGAAATCTGAATAGTATCATAGAAGGTACCTTCAAGATGTAATCTGTTTGCAGACTTCTTTTAAGCCCTTTAACCGATATTGCCTGCACAAATGGGATTACAAAAGGTTATAAACAACAGCCTGAGTTCAAAGATCAGTTTCATCATAAGCTTCAGGAGTGCACCTTCATGTAAGCATCTACTTCTGGGTCGGGAATGATTCCACCATCCTTTTCTCTTTTGGTGACCTCCATCATAATATCTGATTCAACAGAGAGATATCTTTCTCACGAAAACCGTTTAGAAAGACATTTGCTCTAGGAGGACATCTACCTGTTCGGCTACCGACACCTAGACAACGAGCTGAGAAGTCTATTGTCTCCCTCACTGTCATCTCTGCAATATGCAGATCGTGTTGACTTATATACGCCGATGTTTTCTGAGGAACAATTTCGTTCAGTCCGTGTCCGTTGTAAAAGATTTCACCAGAACGCTGTGGAAAATAAAGGAGAAGAAAAGAAGACATGGTTTAGACATCTGCAGCATAAGAATCAGTTTGTGAAAAAATCTGAAACCTTCAGATTCTTGGCCAAATTTCCGGACAAAGCCTTAAGCAGAGTAGTTTTTCCACATCCAGGAGGACCAAGCAGCAATGTTAACCTTTAGCATCAAGAAGTGACATTAGTTGAGCAACAAAGCTTGTATCGGAAGAGAGCTCTATTTGCAACTAACCTTCCCGGGTTAATTATGCCGCTAACATTGTGAAGTATGTTTATCTTGGCTTCGCGTGTTCTTACACCACTCAGCTTCACCAACTCCTGAGAAAGAAAAAAAATGAATTCAACCTTGAATACTACTAAACTTGCAGTCTTCATTATTTTCTTGAGTATACTCACAAAGAAAACGTGCGTCAAGGAGTTCCATAAAGTTGGAAGCGCCTTGCCTTCAACGACCTCACACTCTGCTTCAACTCCTAAATGCTCATACCTCACTTCTATGCTCGGAAACTCCACACCGACCCTGCACAAGTAACAATTCGGCTCAAGCTCAACTTTCAGATTCACAAGGTTTCTTTCTTCTTTTCTCATATTGCACCTTTCTAGTCTTCTTCTGATTTTATTGAGCAGCTTGAGATTATCATTCTCAATGTGTTTAATCAGCTTCTCAATCAGGAGATGACGTTCCGTGGCTCCAAGTTTGGTGACATCAGCGACCCTTTTCCCTTTCTCCACAGCCTCGTCGCCTTCTTCGTCAAGCAGAGACGATCTCAGCCGTTTAAAAGTAGGCAATCTCTGGAGCTCAGCCCATTGCAGAGCATACTCTGCCTCATCCTCAAGCTCATTTCTTGAAGAGCTGCTCCTGAAACTCGATCCAGTGCTTTTTCCAATCTCTGCAAGCTCCAGTCTCAGTTCATCTCCACCCATCTGAGGAGCCATGCCTCAAACGAGGCTTTAGGTTCTTGGCTGATGAGATGCTCAGAAATCAGTTATGAGGTATTCAATTTTCTTTTTCCTTCCAATGTATATGCAATTATTGGCATGGATAGGGATATCATGTTTAAGCACTAACGCCCACTAGTATTTATCTTTTTTGGTCCCACAGTGGGACTCCCGCTCTTCCTTTATCTCTCTCTTTCTTTTTGTTTTTCTTTGGTCCATTTTGATATTTTCTTCATAAACAGCAAGTTTCCAGCGGACAAGCTTGAAGTCGAGAGGTTCAATTCTACAACGGCGAATGCAAACACCGTCGTCGACGGAAGATGCTGACGTCAACAGTGACGGCTCCGACGGGGAAAATGGTGACGAGAAGGAAAGAGTTTTGGGAGTATAGTCGTAAGTTCTCAAGTCTTTTTCTCTTTTGTTACTTTCCCAATAATTGACCAATAAATGTTGGTTTCCTAAAAATGGTGTTGAGGGGAAAGAAAAAAAAGCACAAAAGGTACGATTTACCAAATTTACCCAATACTATATTAATAATATACATAATAAATATATGTAAACGTGTTCCTCAAACTGAAAATGTAGTTACATAATAAGCACCTTTTTGTGAATATTATCAGTATTCTATTCTATTATTCTCCACATTATTATTCTATGTTCTTTTATTGTTGATAATATTTCCGTTTTATTCAGTTTGTTTTAACCATCAAACAATTCAAACAAAAAATCGACTAGAAAAGGTAGCATATTCTCGTTAAAAATAAACCACTTCAAAATAAAAATCAGAAAAAGAGTTGATGATAATTAGATTTTTATTAAATATAGAGTATTTGCATCCTTTAACTCAAATTAATGTCGTATTTGCAAAAGTAACAAAGATAAACTTTTGTTACAGTTTATATTTTTAAAATTTCATTATACCCTTTCTTTCATTCTCTTTCATTTTTCTTATTCTCTCTCATTTCTCTCTTTTGCATCTCATTTTTCTCTTTCTCTCTCCTTTATCTCTTTTGTTTCTTTTTCTCATTTCTCTCATAACCTTTTCTTCTCAATCAAATAGAATCTTCTATTGTCTTTGTTTTCTTAGTGAGTTTTATGTGTAAAATTTCTGAGATTTTAAATTAATTTTGATATCTGGGTTTATAGCGATTACTATTCATTCATACATTAGGTTTTCTGGTGATTGAAGATAAATTGTAGAATCAATATTCTTCTCATGAATATTGATACGTTAATCTGAAAGTTAAAAAATCAAGATTTTAGTTATCTTGTTAAATAAAAAGTTATAGCTATATCTAAACGTTTATACCATACAATAACATGTTAACAATTAGAGATAATATATTAGTTAAACAGAAAATGATTAAGCTACCGTGTTAAAACAAATGATAGAGCTACAATATATAATTTAACGTGTTACAATCAAATATAACTTGTTACAAAATCATCACATCTACAAAAAGGTTGATATTCCAACAAAAAAAACATGAAAATTAACCGATAACAACTATGTTATCGTACTAATCAAAATGTTAACAGTAAATTTATAAATTTTACATGATACAATAACTTTTAATATGTTACAATACCATGTAACTTGATACTATAAAATATATCCACATCATCTTGGTTTTTATAACTTAACTGAATTTTGTCCGATTTTTACCAAATTTTCACCCAGTTCTTTGTATGATTTTGTACTGAATTATTGAGAATTGTCCAGATAAATTTTAAAAATGCTGTGGGTTTAAAAAAATGTTGGTTGCTGAATAAAGAAAAGAGGAAAGAGAGAAGAGTAGAAAGAAAAAAGGAAAACGAAATTCTAAGAAAGAAGAAAGAGAAATGGTTGTTCTTTTCTTTAGGAAGGTAGAGAAAAAATGTTGAAAGAAGAAAGGAGACGAGGGGTAAATGGTAATATAACCTTCTCATATAAACAGTGATGGAGAAATTATGTCACTTCAGTGTTACTTTTTTTAATTTTGATGCTTTCTATGAATATTCGGCTTATTAACTCTTAAATATACATTATAAAATCATTTTCTATTCTCTAACATTAAGTACACCTTTTTAAAAGTACTAGATTACACGCTTGAATTGAATGGGAATATTGTCTCACAAAAAAATAAGTGGGAAAATTATACATAACTTTTTGAAAAAGAAAAAAAAACAAAATACGTAGTGACTTGAATGGTCACTCTATTAAAGAAGGGATCACTTTTTTCAGTTATATTTATAATATAGTGTTCTTTACGCATTTTGAAAATTACATTAATCATCCATATTCTATACTTCTAGTCTTCTAATGAATAATTATTTTCATGATGAAGTCGATCTAACCTGATTTTCACAAGGTTTCCATCTTCAGGAGCTTGATACCTACAAAAACTTGAAAATGAAGCAAACTTTTGCACAAAAAAGCAAGTAATATTGAAACATCTGATATGTCTTTCCTAATTGTTGACATATTGTAGGTTATTGTTATCATAACCTAGTACCCTGTGGTCTTGCTTATACAAGTTTTTGACCGTGTATAAAGAAAGCAATGGGTTGGTATGTGATTGATCATCGTTTTTGAAAGTTGAGTTTGGCAACAAAGAAAGCAAACATAGACGCCAATGCAACCGGGAATGCGATGAGAACAATGGCTGTAATCATCAAACAATCATGATGGAATCCAAAATAGTCATCTAAGAATCTCGCAACCGTCGTGGATTCTCCAAATGCATTGATCTCTTCATGAATATCGCCATACTGAGACGAGAAAAATCCGTTGAGCGTCCAAGAGGTCGGGGTCAGATAGTAAAGCCAGACCCACCACTTTGGGATTTGCTGCATTGTTCAAAATCAAGAAAACACTTATTAAGTAGTATAAGTAAAGATCAAAGATGATGACTTATTCAAAAGATCTTACCGGTCCTGGAATCAAGAATCCAGCAAAAAGGTTGAAAACAACAAAGAAAAGCGACTGGAGAATAGCTGCAACCATGAAGTTTGGAGTGATGGAGATGAGGAACAATGCGAGGTAGTTTAAGCAGAGTAAGTTACAGAACATTGCGTAGAGACACCAAAAGACTTTGTAGGGAGACGCGTATAGTCCCATCATAGGATATATAACGATCACAAACTCTGCGCTTTGGATGAATATGTAAGGAATCTCGGTCACAACCTGAGCCAACGCATAAGCAAACGCAGAGTACATTCCCGCAAACCTTTCACGGTACATAACATTACGCTCTGCCTCAAAATACTGCAAAGCTGAAGAGCAGTTGTTTATCCCCAAGAAGAGGACAAGACCATAAATTGCTCCAAGAACTGTAAACAAATTCTGTTGAGTATCTCTGCCAAAACATATACAAAAAGAAGTCATATATTGAGAGAAAGTATAATGAAACTTATTTGTGTGAGATATTAATGTAACTTACATCTTTTGGCCTTGCTTCCAGAAGAGTACACCAAAGATCAGAGAAGAGATTAAAGTGTGAGCGATTCGCATCAAGTTGTAAGAAGGACTTCTCCAATAAGACAAACTCATCTTCCAAAAACAAGACTTGAACTGTTCCCACCAGTTTTGTGCAAAAGTTCTCTCGAAATGCAAATTGCTTGACCCGATCTCCGGTTTGCTCAGCTCTTTAGTAAGCTCGGAGTTGCTCCTGCCAAAACAACACATGAGCTTCTGACATGGTTTATGACCGGATTTAGTTGGCTCACATAAACAACTCACTTGTAAAGAGCTGATTCGCTATAGATTTTTGCGAAATCCAAGTCGAGCTCAGTTTCCACAGACTGTGAAGTGACCTCTAACATCCATGTTGCTGGATTGTAGTTGTCTCTAATCTTAGCAACTCCAGGGATACTCTGTTATATTAGTCTTATTTAGTCCGTAAAACTATAAGATTATAGAAACTAAAATTGAGTTTTGTTTCTTGTGCATAAACTAACCTGAAAATATTGAATGACATGAGACGAATGTTTTCCAAGAGGTCCTGTGTATATCATGCGACCTCCTCTCTTTAGAAGTACCAACTGAACAAATTAAAAAAAAAAACACTGTAATTTGAATTTTTTTTGTAATGTGAAATTCTAAAAAAAAATTATGAAAAAAAAAAGAGTGATTTACACTAAAAGACATTTTTACAATTTCTTCTTACAAAAAAGGCACTTTCAACTATTAGGAGACTTTTTCTATACTACAAATACTGTTCACACCAAAATAATCCGAAATTGCCCCTCGTGTTCACGAGAACGGTGGATGCAACTCGTGAATACCGAATTAAACCCAGATTTTAAAAACAATTATTTTTTCCCTTCTGTTTTGTATTGTATTTTTCTGTATTGTGAAACATATAAAACAATTTTTTTGTTAGATTGTATTCTAATTTTATTTGTCATTGTTTTAAGACCTATTATGTTATACTTTCTTTATCAAATAAGAAATTTTTCAAATAATCTTTATAAAAAAATTTAAAACAACAGAAATCTACTAAGATATTCATTCACAAAATACGATGTGGATGATGCATGATGGACATATAACATGGACACGATTGCATTGATAGGTTTTCATTCATATATCCACGTCAAATAAATGAATGAAAACATATCCACGTAATCGTGTCTATGTTATATGTCTATCATGCATCATCCACATGGTATTTTGTGTATGGATATCTAAGTAGATTTCTGATTTTTTTTGAATTTTTTATAAAGGTTATTTGAAAAGTTTATTGTTTGATAAATAAAGTATAGCATAATGGATCTTAAAACAATGACAAAATAAAATTAGAATTCATTCTAACAAAAAATTGTTTTAAATCTTTTATAATACATAAAAATATAAAATAAAACAAAAGGGGGAAAATAATTATTATTTTTAAAATCTGAGTTTAATCTGGTATCCACAATTTGATATCCATCATTTTTGTGAACACTAGGGATAATTTCGGAATAAAAAATAGAAAAATTACCTAATAGCTAGAAGTCCTTATAATAATGTAATATGAGTTTGAAAAAGTACCAACACACTGTTAAGCTTTAAGTAGCAAGAAAATCGAAAAAAAGTATACCTCGTCGAATGCTTCAAAAATGTCGATGCTGGGCTGATGAATAGTACAGACGATGGTTCGTCCAGTCTCTGCGACGTTCTTCACAGCTCTCATTACAATGGCGGCTGCTCTTGCGTCCAGCCCCGTCGTTGGTTCGTCCATGAATATGATCGACGGATTCGCCACCAACTCCACCGCCACCGTTAACCTCTTCCTCTGCTCCGTCGACAATCCGCTCGCTCCGGCGACTCCCACCATCGCGTCCTTAATCTCCTCCAGCTCAATCGTCTCCATCACTTCTTTCACGAATCTCTGCACCAAATTTTCAGGCGATTTCTTCAAAAAAAAAAATCGATTTCAGCACGAATCATTGTTGATTGTAGATTTGGGGCTTACGATTTTGGTTTTGGGATCGATTTCTGGAACCAGACGGAGCCAAGCGGAGTAGATTAGAGATTCCTCGACGGTGATGTTTGGTGAGTGTATATCCGTTTGCTCGCAGTAGCCTGAGACTCTTGCGAATGTTTCCTGCACTTTTGGGAATCCGCTGATTCTGATGTCTCCTTCTATGTATCCGCTTGTTTTTCTTCCTGCGAGAACGTCGAGCAGAGTGGTTTTTCCGGCTCCACTGATTCCCATCAACGCCGTTAAAACGCCGGGCCTAAATGCTCCGGTGATGTCTGAGAGAAGCTGCAATTTCTTCTCAGTGTATCCTTGACCTCTCATCTCCTGAGATTATCAAAGTTCCATGGATTATCATTGCAATTGGAAATGGTTATGAAACAAGAATGAAATTGAAGCTTTTACCACAGGGACGTCGACGTAGTAGTTCAACTCTTGAAATGTTATGGTAAGGGGCTTGAAAGGTAACACCATTTCCCCTGTTGATTGGTAAATGAATTAAGTCGAGGGAAATGGAGAAGAAAGAGTTTGAGTGAAGATATATTTCACCTGAATCCTCATTGGTCTTTATTGGGGAAGAATTTATAGACTTGTTCTTCTTGACTGATGAATCTTTTGTACCTTGCAGCTCAGAGAGCTTGTCTTGGGAAATCATGGCACGAGATGATGTGGGAGCTGTCATGAGTTAAAGAATCTATTCAGTATGTGCATTGTCAGTGGCATTTCTTCTATATTTTGAAACTTACATTTCAAGAAACTCAGAGCTAGAGTGAAAATGATGTTGAAGATAACAGTGAGACCCAGCAAAGCACATAACGAAACCCAGTACATGTAATCATCATAGTTTAATCCTCGGCTTTCAAGTATGGTTCTCCCCAAGGTAATATTGGTGGGTTGCATCTACAAACATAACCGGAAAATGGATTAGTCTTGGAGTATGAAGAGAAGTTTGAATGATTAGTAGTAGTAAGTAGGGAACAGAGAATCACTTGCTGCCATCGTGGAGCAAGAAATTCGTTTACAGAGAGCCCAATCTCGGCGTAACTTATAGGATTTACCCAGAAACCCCACTTGAGCCACCCTGGCATATCAGCTGTACCAAACCAGTGTCATGTTTTGATGGAACTTTGGAAACGGATTGAAAAGGAAAAGAGCACAAAAGGCTTACTGTATGGTATGGCGAAACCGGCAAATACAAAGGTGACTAATATAGCAAAACTACCAGCTGCCATGGAGGCAACTCCTGTCTGAAAGATTGCAGCTATACACCGGAACATGGATATCGACGTGAAGTGAACGGCGAAGAGCATAATGAATTGCCGGAAAAACCTGAAACCTCGAATATCATTACTCTACATTACATTTTTCTGATTTCTCAGGATGTGAATAAGAGATATATATATGGTTTTAAAAGGTCTCACCGGTAGACTTCAGGAGTGTATCCGATGACATAGTAAGTGAGGCAGGTCCAGACGAGAGATTCAAAGAAGGAGAGAGGGACCTTTAACACTGTTGCAGGGATTGCATAAGCCCAAGCTGGATAGAAACGCAATTGCTTCTGCTTGTAGAATACGGCAAGGCGTTGAACAGTCATAGTCAGCTCTGGAAAACCATCAACCAAAAGTATGACGGTTGCAAAAAAGAGGCAACTTATATAAGAATTTCCATGAATGATATCTATGCCCATCCGTGTTCGAATGAACACAGTCATAGTGAGGATTGCGGCCAACACTAGCTGCGCAGTATAAATCAAGAAGGGTTATTCAGAATTAATTCTAGAACCTTGAAAAAAGATAAAAGGATAGAGATGTCTGCAGAAACGAAGACTGTAACCTGGAATGTCTTGAAGAGGTAGACGAAATAGTTTCTTTTCATGAGAAGAAACTCTCTTGAGATGCATGCTCTGAACAGCTCCCATTTTGGCAGAGAATACACATTGAAAGAAAGAGCATCCTTATCGGTTTTTGATCTATCATATGGCTTTGAGAGGGCTTCCTGAATCTTCTTCCCAATCTCTAAGTCCTTGAATCTCTTTGACAATGTTTCTACTGAGACAAATTTATGGGGTACATCCTGGTGCAGCCAGTACTGTCCTTGGTCTTTTCTGGATAGGACCTGAAAATTAAAAAAAAAAAAAAAACTCTGTGTGCTGTGGACTTGAGAGGTAAGTAAGTGTCAGGGAACAAAACTTTGGCTTCTTTTACCTCTTGGAGAAAGTCTGCTACACCTTTCCTTTCTGGGCATCGAAATCCACACTCTTCGAAGAATTTCAAGACTTCGTCGCGTGGACCGTGATACACAATCTTTCCTTCAGCCATCAGGACAATATCGTCGAAAAGGTCATATGATTCTGGAGCAGGTTGGAGAAGGGAAACAAACACAGTTGCATTGGTAATGTGAGCCAGTTGCTGAAGAGACTTGACAATCTGAAAGGCCGTGGAACTGTCTAAGCCATTTGTTATTTCATCCATGAACAGAGCTTTTGTTGGACCAACGATCATCTCAGCTGCAAACACAGCTTTTTTAGAAAACCTGCCATGCCAGCTAAAAAAACAGAGCCATTTTGCAGGATTCTTGGCTATGAATCAACCTGTGGTAAGTCGCTTCTTTTGCCCCCCGGATATGCCTCGTCTCATCGCATTTCCAATCAATGTTTCTGCACAGATGTCAAGCCCCAGGATCTGAAAATGCAATACAAGACATATTCAAAGAAGCTATCCAAGAAGGACCAGAAATCTGAAAAGTATCATAGAAAGTACCTTCAAGATGTAATCTGTTTGCAGACTTCTTTTAAGCCCTTTAACCGATATTGCCTGCGCAAATGGGATTACAGAAGGTTATAATCAAGTTCAAAGATCAGTTTCAACATAAGCTTCAGGAGTGCACCTTCATGTAGGCATCTACTTCTGGGTCGGGAATGATTCCAGCATCCTTTTCTCTTTTGGTGACCTCCATCATAATATCTGTTTCAACAAAGAGATATCTTTGTCACGTAAACCGTTTAGAAAGACATTTGCTCTAGGAGGACATCTACCTGTTCGGCTACCGACACCTTGACAACGAGCTGAGAAGTCTATTGTCTCCCTCACTGTCATCTCTGCAATATGCAGATCGTGTTGACTTATATACGCTGATGTTTTCTGAGGAACAATTTCGTTCAGTCCGTATCCATTGTAGGAGATTTCACCAGAACGCTGTGGGAAAATTAAAGAAGGCATGGTTTAGATATGGTTTACACATCTGCTGCATAAGAATCAGTTTGTGAAAAAAATCTGAAACCTTCAGATCTTTGTCCAAATTTCCGGACAAAGCCTTAAGCAGAGTAGTTTTCCCACATCCAGGAGGACCAAGCAGCAGGGTTAACCTTGAGCAACAAGAAGAGACATTAGTTGAGTGCAATTACACAAATATCAAAGCTTGGATCAAAAGGAAGCTCTTCTTGCAGCTGACCTTCCCGGCTTAATGATGCCGCTAATATCGGTAAGTATGTTTATCTTTGCGTGGCGTGTTCTTACACCACTCAGCTTTACTAATTCCTGAAGAAAAAAAGATAAGAATTCAACCCCGGCTACTTTCAACTTGCAATCTTTATTACATTCTTGAGTATACTCACTAAGAAAACACGCTTTAAGGAGTTCCATAAAGTTGGAAGTGCCTTCCCTTCAACGACCTCGCACTCTACCTCAACTCCTAAATGCTCATACCTCACCTCTATGCTCGGAAACTCCACACCGACCCTGCACAAGTAAGAATTCAGTTGAAGCTCAAAGTTTCAGATTCACATGGTTTGTTCAGTTTTCTCATACTTCACCTGTCTATTCTTCTTCTGATTTTATTGAGCAGCTTGAGATTATCATTCTCAATGTGTTTGATCAGCTTCTCAATCATCAGATGACGTTCCGTGGCTCCAAGCTTGGTGACATCAGCGACCCTTTTCCCTTTCTCCACAGCATCGTCGCCTTCTTCGTCGAGCAGAGACGATCTCAGCCGTTTAAATGTGGGCAGTCTCTGGATCTCAGCCCATTGCAGAGCATACTCTGCCTCATCCTCAGGCTCATTTCTTGAAGAGCTGCTCCTGGAACTCGATCCCATTCTTTTTCCAATCTCTGCAAGCTCCATTCTCAGTTCTGCTCCACCCATCTGATTCTGAGCCATGCCTCAACGCGTCTCTAGATTCTCTGATAAGATAGATGCACAAAAAATTATGAGGTATGCGTTCTTCTTCTTCTTATATATGTCTATAATGTATTTAATAATATATGTAAATGTGCTTTTCAAATTTACAACAGTTAGGTGATGGAAGGTAAAAGTAATGCATCATAATCTTACTCAAAAAAATGTGACATACTAACTATCAAAATTCTCTACATCATTATTTTATGTATTTTTGGTAATTTCCTTCTTTTTCAGTTTTGTTTAACAAGTAAACAATTCTATTTGTCGAAAAGCAAAGACAATCCAGCAGATTGGCCTAAAAGTATCAGAAGAAGAAATAATAATAATATGGTTTTCTAAAATATAAAATAAAGAGAACATATAAAAGTTATAACAATAACTACAAAATATAGTTTAAAGTAGACTACAAGAATTAGTGGGAAGAACGTCGGAAAAATATAGAAATTACGCCTAACTTTGTTGAAAAAAGGCAATACCTAGCTAGTGTCTTGAATGGGCACGTTGTTGAAAATGTCATCAACTTCTTATTACTATCATATTGTGTGATTATGCATTAATTATCCATAATCTATAAATCTAGTGTTGCAAGAAAAACAAAAAATTCTTTCCGAGGTAATCATAAAACCGAGGAAAAAAATATGTATAATGAAGAAACTATTGAGGATGCCTAGAACATTGATGTGGTATTCTTCCAATGATACTCAACCAATATTGCACAGGACAAATGGTTAATATTATAAAGATAGTCCACGACTTAATTGTTGTTTGTTGAATCTCTTAGTGGTATAAAATACATTAATTAGTTTGCTAACGCGTGAAGACATTAGCTATTACTAGTTTTTTATGCCATTCGATCTGAGCCTTCGTTCTGGTTGACGTGGAGGAGAGAAAGAGAGAATGTAAGGGGGGGGTTTTTTTTTTTTTGACTTCATGAAAACTGGACCATAACTGACCAACTGTCAAGTAGCCCAAAGTACCCATGCCTCTTATCTTTTGGAAAGAGACGCCAAAGTTGACCCATTTGTGTCCTTCCGAGTGTAAAAGGGGGAAAGGTTTTTTGTTGAAAGTTGTAGGCAGTGGCCTTTCGCAAAGATTATTTCGGAAATGGATAAATTTTACGTTTGATCAGTACGTTATGTCATAAAGGACAATGAATATTCTTTCACTATATCATACGTTAATCGATAATTAATTAGAAATTTTGATTTGGTGAATGATTTTATACGAGGAAGAAAATAGTATGTTAGATTTTAATATCATGATTAATTTTGACATTTAAAAAATAACTTTTTTGAAAAAAGTTGAATCTAAAATTTTAATCAACTGAAAAATGTGTTTATTACAATGGCCACATTTTAAAAACTGGAACTATCTCTCATGTAGTTACGTGGTAATGTGAACGCGAGTGTTTTCCCCCAAATTAAAGGCAAATGATGTTGCTTTCGTTTTTTGTTTGTTTGTCGTTCTTCTTTTTATTTTGTTTTTCCATCACTTTTCTACGTTCTTGCATATTTTATTGTCGATTAAGAAATGAAAAAAAAAACAATGATCTCACTTTACAATCTTATACTGTGTTGGGCCCACGGATTAGACAAAAGAAACAGAACTAAATTGATGATTTATGTTATCGATGTTACGCTCCTTGAATTAATTAAAGTCACTAAGACGTACGTCAAAGCCAATGCATTAGGCTCAATTAATGCGTTTTTTGTCGGTTATATAATATATAATTCGTACAAAATGCATGATGGTTGAGTGAAAAAAGATGATGATTGTATTATGTATAGTCATCATTTCAAAGAAGAATGTATAGTTGGCATTCTAAAAATGAAATTATCACCTAAGAATCAGGCTGATGAGCAGTTTAAGAACTTATTTGATCATTTAAGCAGAAAAGATAAAACGTGCAAGAGAAGAACTCTTTGACTATGGACAATAAACCTAACCTAATCGGTATCTCTTAGCACACTTAAAGACAAGAGATTAATGTTTCTAGTTTTGTCAAACGGCAATTCAATTACTCGACCATTGATTAAACACATATAAATTTAAGATATTGATAACAATTATATTTTCTCAACAAAGATTAAGACAATAATTAATATTACACGATAGAAATTGTTTCCCTCATGTATCTACTTTACAATTATAGTATTTCCCTATAATTTTTGTTTATTTTTTTTTGTCATCTGTGGATTTCATTAGTAATAGCCAGTTACATCAACTCTACAAAAGACCTCACAAGCTAACATCTCAACAAAAAGGGCAGAACCAAGAGTTAAAACAAACAATATCTAAGGCAGCCTTTACAATATAAAGAATCTGAGAGAATTGCACCTAAGTAAATGAACAGCAAGCCTAACATAAGCCATTACATCAGGATAACATTACAAAAAGGATCAATGCTTAATTAACCTTCCAGAAATTCCAATCCATATCTAAAACCAATCTCTTTGCGGCAGCCATCAAGCCGTAAAAACAGAAGGCATGGGTCTCTTACTTTCAAAACAGCTCACATAACCAGAGAGGTGACCTTATGGCAACGTAAGATTGTAACCGAAAAACAGATTAGTTTTATTTTTCTTATATAAATCTTTAAAATTACTACATATCCGCAAACTGCCTTAGCGCTTTTTAGTGGTATTAAGTTTTAACCCAAGTTTTAGTCTCATAATAACTCTCTCATGCCTTTTCAGTGGTTTTGGCCCGTTTTGGGGCCCTAAATACAACCCAATTATAAAGTAAAACCAAAATTCACCCCTTCAAATAAAAACGATACAGCCCAATATATCCGAGCACATCTGGGCCTGACAAAGTCCATCTTATAACCAAAACTTCGGTATATTAGATTTTTAGGGTTTCGCTCTTCTTTTCAGCTTCCTTCTTCAAGCTGCGGCTAAGCAAACCTACTTGTTACCTCTGATCTCTTCTCTTCCACACGACACTTGAGAGCTCGAGGTATTCCGTTATCTTCTTCCATTTTGAGATTTCTATTTTGGTTTTTTTCTCGTATTTGCCTGTTTTTGCTAATCAGCAGTTGATCTTCCAGCCATGGCCGCCGCCGTCGAAATTGACGCTGAGATTCAGCAGCAGCTTACCAACGAGGTTAAGCTCTTCAACCGTTGGAGCTTTGATGACGTTTCGGTAATTTCCTCATCGATTTATTCTCTCTTTTTTCTTCTTACATTAAGTTTATTTGTCTGCAACTGTTTGGTTCTCTTCTGTCTCTCCTTCTGTTCTAGCCGATCTTTGCTCATTTTCAATCTGTCTGAGATCTACTCCTTGTCCTCCTCAAATTAATTTATTAGATTTAGTTGTAATCTAGCCTCTTCTAATGGGTCTTTCTCGTTGAAATGTGATAGGCATTGAAATTATTGGTCTCTCGTGATATGATAGTTACATTAGCTTAATTTTGTGAATTAGATCAAAGTTTAGGCCTCAACTGTCTTAAGTACATCAAAATAACTCCTGGAAATGGATTGTATATCACTGTTTCTGATGTTCTCGTTTTGTATCCTGCCTGAAAAAGTGTTCTTTTTCTTGTTGGTTTTCAGTTGATCTTCGCTATTCAATACACTTGCTTGATCCTGATGTTTTTTTTTTGTTTTGAATCTAAAAACTCCTTGGGTCTCAGAGATTCTGTTTGGTTTTTGTATTTTGGGACTCTGAAGTGACATCAAAGGCTGTATTGCAAATATGTGTGCTGATATATTGATTTGATCTTCGTATTTGTGTATGTAGGTCACAGATATCAGTCTTGTTGACTACATTGGTGTGCAGCCGGCGAAACACGCAACCTATGTTCCCCACACTGCTGGAAGATACTCTGTCAAGAGGTTCAGGAAGGCTCAGTGCCCAATTGTGGAGAGACTCACAAACTCTCTCATGATGTACGGAAGGAACAATGGTAAAAAGTTGATGGCTGTGAGGATCATCAAGCACGCCATGGAGATCATCCATCTCTTGACTGATTCGAACCCGATTCAGGTTATCATTGATGCCATTGTTAACAGGTAAATTTAACATGTGATACTGAAACTTGTTACTTTCTTGCAGTGCTACAATGAACCTTTTTTTCATGATGTTTGTTTGTTTAATTTTTGTGAGCCAGTGGTCCTCGGGAAGATGCTACCAGGATTGGATCTGCTGGTGTGGTTAGGAGGCAGGCCGTTGATATCTCTCCTCTAAGACGTGTGAACCAAGCGATCTTCTTGCTCACGACTGGTGCACGTGAAGCCGCCTTTAGAAACATCAAGACAATCGCTGAGTGCCTTGCTGATGAACTCATCAATGCTGCCAAGGGATCTTCCAACAGGTGATTAAAAACACTCTTTACACTCTCTTGTCTCTTAAATGGCTACACATTTGTCTTAGTTAGTAGCTAATGATAGCTACCATTTTGTTCTTCTCTTTGCAGCTATGCCATCAAGAAGAAAGATGAGATTGAGAGAGTTGCTAAGGCCAACCGTTAAGGGATCTTCCTTTGCCCTGAGTTTGCATTATATCTCAAAGAGTTTTTTTGTGCTGTTTTCATTAGCTTTGGACATGTTTCAGAAGATTTTCTCTATCTCGTTAATGAAGTTTTGACGCTTTCGTCGACTTGGGATATTGATCAAACGGTTTTCCTATTTAAGAATATTTCATCTATATATCTCTAATTCGAAAGTTGATAAATCAAAAATAGTGATATGTTTTCCATCTTCAAGAATTATTAATCTCCAAAATATAAATTGTAAATGGTGCCATAAATGCGTTAAGTTAGAAAATTGAATGAAATACAATTGGTGCATGTAGTCTACTCGAGTGATATATTAGCGGTAAGAGATGTGTTTATACGAGTACACGTCACTGTAGTTGTATATCACCAAAGACAAATGGGTATCGCACTCACTCCGTAAACTAGTCAATAAGCTTAAAGTCTTTGATGGGTTTTCCGCAGTAAAAGTAAAACTCAGACAAGAGAGGTTGGAAGCGGTTCTGTTAAGGGCATGGATTTGGTTGCTGCCAAGTGCGGTCGGTCTGGGAACTTGGACTACTGAATTTACAACGTGGAAATCAAATTCTCAAAATTTGGTCTCTTTGTCTGGTATAGTTCTCCTGTAGCAAGGTTTTGGTCTCTTTGTCTTTAAAAGAAGAAATTAGATTTTCTTTCATATGGAAACAAAGGAATGCAAGATTTCACCGCAACGAATCCCGCCCATACACTTGTCTTGTTCACGATATTGATCAAATCATAAGAGCAAACCTTGCCGGATTAGATCAGGATGCAGCAACATCTTTTCATTCATCAGCTCAAGATGGTGACAGTTACTTTTCTTAATACTTGGTTTCGGATAACTCAACGTTCTCAGTTTCTCTCCACAACTGCTTCTAGGAATTAATTCCTCTTCTGCTATCTCTCTTCACCCTGGTTAATCGTGTTTTGTAAAGTTAGTTAGCAGTATCTATTATCCGTATATGTAGTACGAGTATCGGAAAAAGCATTTTGTGGCACATGGCACAGCGAGGAATAATTCATTGTTGTTTTGTTTAGGTTTGTACTTATGTGTTCACAGCAACAATGCGTAAATTTATAATTAAAGACACTTTAGATTTTTAACATTTGATCCAACAAAAGAACATGCTGGTTTCAAAATTAAATTTTGTTGCATATCTTAACGTTATCACAATTAGAAGTTAAACCTGATTAATACAAATTTCGTAAATAATCAAAATATATATATATATATAATATATATATATAATATATTTCCGACAAAAAAGAAAATAACATGTTAATTTGATAAACTAAATGAACCGATTAACATTATCACGAGTAGTTAAATAATTAGTGAAACAACTCAACGCTAAATAATAAACAACATTTCTAAATCGAACGGTGGGACTTTTAATTGAGTACACCTCGATTCAAATACACCTAACCGAGACGAGATTATAACAAAGTAGAATCTCTATATTTTTGTGTATGCCAGTGCAAGTTGCAACCATCTTTCTTACATTTTCATTTATGTTGTACTACCAACTCCAGTTTCCATGTATACTGAGTCGGCCCTTGAAGCCAAGCAATACAAATATAGGTTTGCGGTCCTTCTTTTTTATATAAAAATTTTCTTTAACATGCAGTCCATTTTTTCTTTAGTTATAAAATTATTATTTTAGCTACAAAATGGCTCATTTATCATTTTAGCTTGCGGCCACTTAAAATTCAGGGCCAATTCTGCATGTATAGTTTATAATAACAGGTCGAGTCATCATGGTTCGTTGATATACGTTAAATCAAGTAACAATGTGACTAAGGTTTGAAAAAAAAGGTTGAAACTTTGAAGAAACAACATAAAAATTTTTTTATTTAACCATTCTTTTATACCCATTCTGTGTTCTTTGATTGAAACTCTATGTAAATATTTGATAGATCAATAAATTTCACATTTTAAAAAAGAAACAACATAAAAAGTAAGAACAGCCAAAAGCATTTAATTAAAGGGAAATAATGTAAGAAGGTAAGAATTAATAAGCAAGGTAAATTAAAATAAACTGAAGCAATAAAGTAAATAGGTAAATTATTCTCTATATATATACACACATGAGAGGCCCTCTCTTAGTTCATCACCTTGCCATCATTTCTAGCCTGCTTATTTTTCAATTCGTCTCTACAAAGACACGAAATATGGGCAAAACATATTGAAAACATATTTTCCTCATGTTTTCCCTATATTTTTCCCATGTTTTCCCCATATTTCGGGTCTTTTTTGGGGCCTTAAATCAAAAAGGAATGTTCTGATCTACCTTTGGTTTACGCATCCAACCATTGCAAGCACAACTATCTAGCTGTGGTTTAGCAATGTTAACCACTCTTACACAAGGAGGGTATGCTCGATCACCACTATATAAGAGTTTCTTGTAATCATATGCATGAGCGGTTCTAGAGTTCGGTTATCCACATTACGTTGGTTCAATTGTTACGTACCTCGAAGGTTGCAACAATTAATGTTGTCATTCATTCAAATACCGCATTTTGAAACAATAAAGAAAATTATGCCTTCATAATTTTCGAAAATATATAATCCAGTTTTTTTTTTTTTTTAAACTACATACTGATTAATTATGAATATGGATCGAAGAATAAACCAAGCCCTCCGTGTACAATGTGGTTCCAATATTGATCAAAGGGGACTTGCGCCAAAGGACTTTTAGATGGTTGTTTCCCTCTAGGTCTAAAATAGCAAGCACCTAAACCAAGCTTCCAAAAGTTTACGTCTAAAATACCTGAAATATTGATTGAAAGGATCTTCTCCACTTCACACTCGGATCTTCTTGCTCCAAACTCCATGCGTCCACATTCGGATACTGTCATATACATAAACGGTCTTTAACACTCCACAAACACACACACTACTATCGTCAGAATATTCCGTGAAGCAACTTGGCAAAACTACTTCACGAAATATTTCTGTGTTAAGATCCAAGGCTGCAGCATTCTTTTTGCGTTTATTCAACCAAAAAAGCGATCCATTTGCATAAGTTGATGCTTTATCATCGCAAAGTTGATCGTAAAGAATGGGAGAACAAATGCATTTTCTTTCACCGTCGTCGAGGTTCAAAACTTCTGTTTTGACGAGAATGTTCCCAAGAATACGTTCGAAGAAATACATCAAAATTATTTTGTAGTCTCCACTAATGTTATCTCTTCCAAACCCCACATTAATTGGTAATTCACCGGACCAACCTAAAAACACAAAACACTTTTACGTATATTAAAAAAAAATATATACATACGTTCAAACTAATGATATAATCTATATGCTAACAAAATAATTACCTCATCAAAAAAATTCAAATAAAAATGAGTTATAGTGTACCTTCGGCCTGTGAACTTTCGCAATGTAGCTGGAGAAAGAATTTTGAGTTTTCTCCTTGTAGGGCTTGTTGATAAATGAATATCGACAATGGGCAAAACAGTATTTTAGATCGGTAAACTTAGATTTTATTAGATCGAATCGGAAGAGTACAACTGAGTTCGGTTATTAAGTTGAGAATAACGAATTAAGACTTTATGAAACTAAGAATCTAAAGTGATGAGTTCTCAGTCTCTAAGTTTTCTCTGGAATATCTTGTGTCCTCTGAATCGATCATCAAGTGCATCTTCAGCGATATGGGACTGAGATGACTTTCTTTTTCTTTCGGTCATTTTCCTTTGCTCATAGTAATTTTTTTTTTCTATTAGGAAACTTTCCTATTCTTGACCGAACTCGGGGAACGAAAGCTTCTCGCCGACCTCGGCTTAATAAGCTGTGTTCGGCCCAAGACTTTACTCGGTCCAGTCTTCCCAATATATTCCTTCGTGAACCGAATTTATGTTACGCCGATCTCGGTTTGTACCGGAAAAAACTGGGGTGCGGTTTTCACCTCCAACAGAGCTAATTAGATAAATGTGCCCAAGAACATAGATGCAGACTATACCATCACAATATCCTACAATTCCATCAACATTATCGAAATAAAATTCAACGTATGGATCTTTAAAATCTGATTCACAGATATCACGAGAGTTTTTTCTATCGTCTATTGAAATAGTTTCCAAAAAAATTGTTCGATACTGGACAAGACGTTTCTCGGCAAGATAGCTGGATTCAATCATCGATTTCCATTGTCTCGATACAGATTTGAATCTACAGAGAACTTTTACAGGTAGGCGCTTGAGAAGTTCTTCTAATATATCATCCGGTACAATTTCACTAGTTCTAGGATTTGTTATATCTTTTCTCATTGTTTTCTGATTTCTAATGGTTAATTTGCCTTACATTTATTTTAAGGTATATATAGTCTTTTAGGATCTGGATTTGTTATCTCTTTTCTTTTTTTTTTTAATTATTTGGTGTTTTTGGTTAACCATTATTTGGTGATTTTTAACAACACGTTTCTTTTCTTCCTTGATTAACAGCATTCCTCCATCTCTTTATTACAAACACCAATAAGAAAATATCTTTTTTTTTCCTAGCCTCTTTATATCATTTGTCAGAACTAGGAATAGTTAATATAGAATACTAAAACAAATCAGAAGAGAAAAGGTAATAGTTATTACCAATTCCAAAAAAAGAGAGAAATTACCATACATTGCTAATACTATATTATCTCATATGGTATGATTTCTTAGCAAAAAAAAAAAGATATGATGTAATTAAAATTTAATCACCATACTATAATATCTGAAGATAATAAATGTTTGAGAGTCCAAACTCCAAAGGCCCCAAACACACAGCAAAAGTATTAACACGTCTTAGACCTTTTGGTTTCTTGGAAGTCAAGAAAGTTTTAGACTCATAATGATAAATGATGATACTGATACGTCTAAAACGTTGTATTTCATAAATTTTGCATTGAGAAATCATACGTTTATTTTATCTTTATTATCTTCCTTTACCATAAAAGATATTTCAATAACTCTTTTGTACTAAATTACAAAAAAAAAACAATAATATATTTTTAATATATTTAAAAATCATTTTAATAATTAATGAAAATAATAGAAGCTAAAGAGATTTTGAGACACCTATAAGCAAAATATAAATACATGTACTACATATTTTCCCTATAGGGACTTGAAAAACGTAAAAACAAAAGAATAATTATTACTATAAACAACAAAAACTTTAGTTTATGTCATGTAGTAGACGTGCAAAATTTTGCTGCTGCTATTCTCTAAAATATAAGTTGTAAATGGTGCCATACTGCCATGAAACCAAATTTCTTATGAAACAAACCAAATTACTACTGCAAAAGATTACTAATCACATCCAATTTATTCATTTTTGTTGGCGGCGACACCCAAAATATAACACTCTTTTTATTTTGCTTTTTTCTTGTTGTTGTTTCTTTGTTTGTTAAATAACAACTGTCTTCTTGTCCTTACAATTTTGATGTAAAATAAACAAATTCACAGTGCAAAACAAGAAAACGATTAATTAATGTGCTATGAAGATTGAGTAAGAAGCATCAAATCGGTTGCTTAGAATGCTGAGTGGAGTTAAAGGGAAGATTGGTAGACGAAGTAGGAGGTCTCAAGAGCAAATGGTGATTGTGTTTACCTTCGTAGGTTGTAATGAAAGCTCTTGGATCATCACTCGCTCTTTCAACGTGTTTCCTTGCTCTGCAATTCGCGCTCGTGCATCTGTAATAACTTCTCGGATAAGCATTGCCTCCAACCACTTTCTGTCCATACTTTCTCCACCTGAATCCATCTTCAAGACTGTCTGACTCCACTGAACCCTGTGATACTCCTGCTTCACTTGATTGCTTCTCGTTCTTCCTGCTATTATTAATACAACCATTCAAGCTCTAAGGTCAAGCAAATGCATATATGATTAGAGTTTTGAAACTATTCAATCTCTAATCTTACCTTCTTTTGCTTCTGCTTGGATCATCAAGCTCTCCTCCAATGCTTCCTTCATCACACTGGCTACTTCTGCAACCGGAATCCGAAGTACCACCAGTTGAATTAGCCGATCTAGGAACAGCAAACTCGAACGGAGTTACAACACAACCCTCATTCATCTTCTCTGTTCTGTTTTGGGAAGAGTCACTGCTTTGACTGCTCCAAAGAGATTGATGATAGACACTATTAGTGTCTTGTCCCATTGATCCTTCCGAAACAAGCCCTTTTGGTGGTTTCTGAAGCCCTGAAGAGGATGATGACGAAGCGCGACGTGGAAGAGGACAAGACGGTTTTAAGTGGTTATGCTCACCTTGATACACAATCTCTGAAACTTGACCTTCCATTGATCTCTCTACTTTCTTCTTCACCGGACATTTAGGGTGCGTGCATTTGTAGTAACTCCTTGGACACTCGCTTCCTTTAACTTGCTTCTGTCCGTATTTCCTCCAGTTGTATCCATCCACGGAAGATCTGTCCCCGATCGATGTCTCTGATTCCGTAAAGGATGGAACTTTTTGGACAAGATTAGTACCTGCTCGATGCGTACCTTGGCTCACACTCTTCCCATATGCTGCTGCTTCGGTTTGTCTCCAAGTCTGTTGAGGATTCCCCTGAAGCTAACAAAAAAAAACAGAGTTTTAAAACGACCTTCGAGAAATCTTGAAGCCTTTGAAAACAAACTTACCATATTAGCCAATACAGAGACGGTTGCTTTGGAGACTAGCTTTGCTTTCGGTTTATAAACGACGTAGTTTTTGCTATCTGAATCATCACAAGACTTGCCAATGCCATTGCCATCAGCCTAAGATTATCAGAAAGACTTAGTAAGGTCAAGACTATAAGATTGAGAGAGAAGATAACAATTGCCAAGAAAGAGACAACTCGTTGAATCACCCGCGGAGATGAGACCGGAGCTGCTGGCTGTTTAAACCTCAGAGTCTTTGGTCTTATAGCAGCGTCTACAGTATCGTGGCAATTCGATTGAGGAGATACGGTAACTGAATCAGTCAGAAGCTCAGTGAATGTCCTGAAGCTAGAGCAGGAAGGCCTTGAAGCCACTGGTTTTGCTATTACCACTCTTTCACTCTCTTTCACCTCCATTATTTCAGAACCTCACTACCCAAAATTTTCCAGTCAGAAAGCTTGATTCAACCTGAAAAAAAAAACAATAAGTAATAAACATTTTGCTTCCATAGACTAATAAAATTCAGAATAGATCTTCAGATTCTGTGTCATGAATCTAAACTCATTTGCCCAATTAGCAAAATAAATAGTGGTAAGAGTCTTCAAGTCTTTTTTGTTGTGTGTGTGTGAAGGAGTCTTAATTCATGTATTTAGAATGCATTCATAGGAGAGGAGGACCTAGAGCCAAGGAAACGAAAAGATTGGATTTGGACAGTGAGAACCATCAAATCCAAATATACAGGATCTATATAGAGCTTGAAAATTTAGTTGCACAATATTAGCATAAAGAAAGAAGCTTGCTGATACCCATGTGCCAATATACTTCTGATAAGACTCTGAATCATTCCAAATCAAAACCCCAAAATATAAATCGAAATGTAAACCAAAAGAGAGGCAAAGAAGAGGACAAAGTAGTTACTCACAAAGAGAGATCATGCCAAATCTAAAGCTCTGAAAAAGATTTGAGGAATGAAACCCTTCTTTGGAGTTAGAAAGATCCGGGCTTTATCCGAACTCGAGTTTTGGTTATGGCGCGTTGATGTATCTTATCCGTCGTATCAGTTCCAGTTCGTTGAGCCACGCCGACACTGTAAGGGACACGTGTCAAAGTAGGGCACGTTGGATGGATCAAGGTCCGTACTTGAGATGAGCTAGTCTATAGTGATGAAGAAGGCGATGAAAAGGAAAGAGAGAGAGAGAGAGAGAGAGAGAGAGAGAGAGAGAGAGAGAGAGAGGAGACAGATAGTTTCGTTGAACGTTAGTTGAGTTGAAGAGCTTCTTTGAAAGTTAGTTGGAAACGGCCAATGAAACGGCGTCGTTTGGGGTTTTAGTTGAGGCTCTAGCGACCAAAGGGACTGGTTTGGTTGTTGACACGCGCGCGAGCTTGTTTTTTTTTCGAAGTAAACACACGTGAACTGAACCATACCGACCTTTTTTTTTATGCATCATACCAACTTATTTAATAGTAGAAGAATGTGAACTGAACCGTACCGAAATTAGCGTAAGGAAAACAAATTAACTGTCATATTGTTGTTGTTGTCACACTTCCATCTGAAAATTTCACATTTCTTACTTAATTGTGGATTATATTGAACCGAAAATATTATTTAATGCATAAATTAAGAGATATAATATTATATCTCAATCGTCATTTAACAGAACATTTATCAAAGGTAACAACTATTAGCTTGCAATTTTCAACGACTGTTATAGATATGACATTATTAACTCTCTATCTAACAAACAGTTTGTTAGGTTAGTTTAAAAGCTGTTAAGAAGGTAGGGTGTTTAAGCTTAATCAATGCATATAAACACACTTGTACACAGTTTTACATTAATGAAGAATTACTTAATAGCTTAGCATCTGATAGACATTTTCTTTACGAACTTGGAACTTTTTAAAATGTTTTAATAAAATCAATACGGTTATTTCGCTTACGTTATTTCGCTTACGTTATTTCGCTTATTACAAAGTTCTGGACCCCTACGGTAAAAGGAGTTTGCGTCTAGAAAAACCAACTAGTAAAGCGACAGTTTCGACTGACCAAATAGACCAAGAGATAAAAATATCGGTAGTAACTTAGACAGTTTCGATTGACGCCTTTGTTATGTCTATGACACATCACAAAAGTATATACAAGAAGAATTCTGGATCCGGTTTATATTGCGAAATACTGTATCCAGTTTAGCCTTTTAACTGAGCCTGAATTCTCAGGCCATAAGAAGGATTTAATTGTCAGGTCAAAAGAATCTATCATAAAACCCCCCCCCACACAATATATCAGCGATGGCAAACGCAAAACATGAGCTAGAATTAATACACAAGGAACGATTCCACTGGAAATTGCAGAATGTAAGGAACACTTCTATCCCGAACCGCCAATTCTAGGACAGACAGGAGCTGGTTATAGGTTCCCAAAACACTTTAATGTATGCGGCTGTTTTACTTTACTGTCTGGTTGAGTCCTTTAACCAGCCAGCTCGGCCAGCCGCAAAATTATCTATCACATTCAACTCCAATAAGCAAATCAAAACACGAAGTACTACGTATAGCAAGTAATGTAGAAGTATCGATACATTCATGTGACCAGCAAAAAAAAGCTCATAAACAACCATGATACATCAGATTTGCAAGTATGGAACCAAAACCCCCGAGCTCGTGGGAAGATAATCGTTTGCAAGTGTGTATGATTATTTCAATTGAGGTAAAAAAAAACAATCTAAGGTTTTTTTTCTTTACTTTTATTTCCAACACAAAATTGTTTACGCATATGCCTTGCACATGCAAAGAATTTAAATACCGGGATTCGATTGGCCAACTATGCCACGGCAGACTGTTTCTCCTCGTATTCGTCAAGCCTCAAGGCTTCTAATAGTCTTGGCCACGATTCCGGGATGCCTCCAGGCAGGTCAAACTCCATAAGCTTTCCCTTGCTACGGTAGTATTCTTCAAGAGGTTGGCTCTGCATATAAAGAAATACACAAATCAACACTTTTGTCATGTGAAAGTTCATCAACCAAAACACTGATTATCGCTTGTGTACATTGATAGTTCATAATCTTAAAACTAGAAATGGGAAAACGGTCTTTGGCTTACCGTTTCACTGTATATACGAAGCCTTGCTTTCACCACCTCTTCAGTATCATCTGCTCGAGTGATGAGCTTTGACATACACTGTGGTGGAGGGAGAAGTGGATCCATGCTGATTCCAGGTTTTCCATTCTCACCCTTCAAGTTGATGTGAGCGATATTAAAACCCTTTCCACACTGATTACAAGTTCTCCTCCCAAGGCATTTTTCAACCAAAACTTCCTCAGGCAGCTTCAAATTCACCACCAAATCGATGTCAGTTACATCTCCCAGTATTTCCTGAAGCAAAAGACAAAAACAAAAAAAAAACCAATGTTGGAAATGAGAGTAAAAACGTGTATAAAACGGAGATTCAAGATGTAACACACAATGATACTTACAGCTTGTCTCATGGTTCGAGGAAAGCCATCAAGAATGAACCCTGATTCACCTTTCGCTTCACCAGCCTCGAGTCTCTTTGACAAAAGGTTTACTATGATCTCATCCGAAACCAACTTCCCCTGGTTCACAATCTCCGATAGCTGCATCAAGTGTAACAGTGAGCTCAGAAAACCATTACAAGAGATTCTTTTTAACTCTTAACACATATTGGTAACTAAGTTTTAAGGATCCGTTGACTCTAATTTACACGAATAGATCCATGACGATTCTGATCAAACATAGTCAGAAAACACTTGCAAATGGACTTAGACCATTAGATCTGTCAAAGAAGTGAACTTTTTTCCAGATCGAATCGGCGATAAGAAATGAAAACCCGATTTGCCAAAAAGATCAGAAATTTGGATCAAAAATCGAGCATAGGGAAGAATCTCAACCACAGGGAGATAAAAGAGAAAAAGAAAATTTGGCCGGACCTGTTGGGCGAGAGGTCCGGAGGAAGCAAGCTCCTCACGGACGAGATCGCCGGTGGCGATGTGAGGAACGCCGAGGAGACTCGACAGTCTACTAGCGTAAGTGCCTTTACCGACACCGGGACAACCCAGAAACACCCACTGCACGTTCCTATCCTTTGCAGCATCCCTGCGAGCTCCGCCACCGTGAAGAAACGGCGAGGACGGCGACGCGTGGCTAACACCGGCAGAGGTGGAGTAAAATCGGCTTCCGAAGCCGAAGAGTGAGGAGGAGGAGGAGGAGGAGGATCTCGCCACACGCACTATTCTCGCCATTGCAGAAAGAGAAATGGAAGAGAGATAGAGCGAAGAAGCGGCTTGAGCAAGAACGAGCACAAAACCAACATTCGCTTTTAAAAAGGATCTTAGATTCTTTTCCCAATTTGCCCTAACTTAGCTGACGTGGCATTTCACTTTCTCTCTTTCGGACCATGCTTACATCACCAGCCACGTGTAATAACCCAACTCCACGAGATTAGCCAACGGTTTGAGTTAAAAGTGGGATTTTTTTTTTTTTGATTTTTCTTATTTTTGAGCTTTCCCGGAGCAACAATGGCGGTTTCTCTAACGTCGCCGTCGACGATCACTCTCAGAACTCCGCACCCGAAGCTGAAAACGATTCATGGGTTAGGGACGGTACTTTCTGGTTATTCTCTCAAATCTCACCTTCGTCAAACCGTAACGAGTTTCTCTCTCCGGCGTAACGCCGTGGTTGTATCGGCCATTACCGGCGCTTCAGGTGAGCTTAAGTGTAATCTCTTCTATCTAATTTTGATGATTTTGAATTTCAACAAAATTCCAGATTTCTTATCGATTCTCCTCCACAGGAACTGGAACGGGGAAAGATACTGCTGATTTGCTAGATACAGTAAAAGTCTTGGATTTGAGAGGAAATGAGATTCCGATTTCTGATTTATGGAAGGATAGGAAGGCTGTTGTTGCATTTGCTCGTCATTTTGGGTGATTAATTTTTGGAGAAGTTTCTAATTAGATTGATGAATCTGGTTACTATGTATATACCGAAGCTTGATTGTTATGTTTTTCAGATGCGTTCTCTGTCGGAAACGAGCAGCTTATCTTGCAGCAAAGAAGGTGTAATGATTATCCATGCCAAAATCTTGATGTCGTTTACAAAAATTGGCCATTTATACAATTGAAAGTCGTTGATTGATACATTTGAGATTTTGTTAGGATGTGATGGATGCATCTGGTGTTGCTCTTGTTCTAATCGGACCCGGAAGTATCGATCAGGTAAGAGATTCGAATACACAGTCATTGTAAGCGTTGGATTAGTGAATGTTGAAAGAAAAAAAATGTTATCCATATCTGCTGCTTATTCTCATGATATAACAACCATCTATGCAGGCTAACACTTTTGTGGAACAGACCAAATTTGAAGGAGGTATAGTTCTCATTTACTTTTGTTTTCTAAAAAAACAAAAAGAGGTAAACATGTGTCATGAGATTATCTAATCTATAATCAAGTTTTTCTCAGAGGTGTATGCGGATCCAAACCACGCATCATACGAGGCGCTCAAATTTGCTTCAGGGGTTTCTGTGACATTTACCCCCAAAGTAGAGTGACTTGTACTTAGCTTATTATTTAGTTTTATCAAAATCTTACTGCATTTTTGGTCTCAGTAGCTTCTTCTGTGGTGTTATTATAGGCTGCTCTGAAGATAATAGAGTCTTACATGGAAGGATACCGCCAAGACTGGAAACTCTCGTTTATGAAAGATACAGTAGAAAGAGGAGGCTGGTAGGTTATAGAGTCTGAATCTTTCCTTCCATATTACTTTCCGGTTTCCTTATTAACAATGTGTTTGCACAATGGTCTTGTACCTCGTGCAGGCAACAAGGCGGTATCTTAGTTGCTGGGCCTGGAAAAGATAACATCTCTTACATCCGCAAGGTAATCTCTTCTCCTTTTTCTTCCTCTTATTGTCCAAAGTACTTGATCGCTGAACACTGCTATTTGTGTTTACACCATGTGATGTAATGTAATGCTGATGTAAAACTAGCCTCAACTTTGCGCACCCGTTAGACATTTAAACAAAAAAGGGTAATTAATCACAATGTCGTAATTCAACTATTTTCTTGGGAACATTTCAGGACAAAGAAGCTGGAGATGACCCGCCTGTTGATGAGATCCTAAAAGCGTGTTGCGCTTGAAGCAATCCATAGACAAAGCCAAAAGACATCATTTTATTTTATCAATAGAATCAATCTCTACATTCATAGAAGCTCGCATAGATGGAGATTTGTTCAAAAATCATATACTTTGTAACAATAAAACGTGTTTCTTACGCAAAGATATAAGACATAAACTTGATACATACGGTCTAGTGTATATATCTCCTTGTCTATCAGGTTTTGCAGTTTTGTCTTATCAAAAAACAGTTTCTGCTCGAAAGCATGTAAAGTTGGTTAAGTTTTGAAACCTCTGCTCCACTTTCCACTCCAAAGTAACACCAGTGTAAGACTCCGTTTGTCTTTGATTTCTAAATGTTAGAGCCCATTTATTAGCGGGCTGATATGTAATAGTTAACGGGCCTGGTTTGAATTCAGGCAGTACCCGACCCGAAACAAGATCTTGGATCCAGGACTGCATTTCCTCCCTAAACCCTACCGTCACTAAAATCTCTTGCTGTCTCCCTTCTTTCACTAGCTCCTTCATGTGGATTGAAAATTTCAGAAATTCAGAACCAAAGATTCTATAATCGAAGGTTTTCGTAAAAACCCATTTCGGAGTACAGTAAATTACCTGCTGTAATGGCTTTCATTTCCAGATCTAAACCCTATCAGTGGAGAGCTAGAGTTCGTCTCTCGCTTCCCAGATCGTCAGACTCGTCTTTCCTCTCAGTCTCCCGTTTATTCAGCTCGATTGAAGAAACCCAGAATCCAGTCGCGAACCCACAAACCCAATCTGCTGATGCTGTTAAACCCGAGACGACGAATCTGGGTTCAATACGACCCGAGGGAAGGCCGCTTAGGGAGAGATTCCAACGAGGTAAGCGTCAAAACCATGAAAAGCTAGAGGATACAATATGTAGAATGATGGATAATCGGGAATGGACGACCCGTTTACAGAACTCGATCCGAGATCTCGTACCCGAATGGGATCACTCTTTGGTGTATAATGTCTTGCACGGTGCTCGGAAACTTGACCACGCTCTCCAATTTTTCCGGTGGTCGGAGAGATCCGGATTGATCCGCCACGATAGAGATACGCATATGAAAATGATTGAGATGCTGGGACAGGCCTCAAAGCTCAACCATGCTCGATGCATTCTCTTGGATATGCCTGAAAAAGGTATTCCTTGGGATGAAGATATGTTTGTGGTTCTCATCGAGAGTTATGGCAAAGCCGGTATTGTTCAAGAGTCTGTTAAAATCTTCCAGAAGATGAAGGATTTGGGTGTGGAGAGGACGATCAAGTCTTATGATACTCTGTTCAAGGTGATTCTCAGGCGTGGTAGGTATATGATGGCGAAACGGTATTTCAATAAGATGGTAAGTGAAGGTATAGAGCCAACTAGGCACACTTACAATCTAATGCTTTGGGGGTTCTTTTTGTCTTTGAGGCTAGAGACTGCTTTGAGATTCTATGAAGATATGATTAGCCGAGGGATCTCGCCGGATGTTGTTACTTACAACACTATGATTAATGGGTATTGCCGGTTTAAGAAGATGGACGAGGCAGAGAAGGTTTTTGTGGAGATGAAGGGGAAAAACATCGAGCCTAGTGTTGTGAGTTACACCACTATGATTAAAGGATATTTAGCAGTGGAACGAGTTGATGATGGGTTGAGAATCTTTGATGAGATGAGATCTTTTGGTATCGAGCCTAATGCTACGACGTATTCGACATTGTTGCCTGGTCTGTGTGATGCTGGTAAAATGGTGGAGGCTAAGAGTATCTTGAAGAATATGATGGCGAAACACATTGCTCCAAAAGATAACTCCATCTTCCTTAAGCTTTTGGTTTCCCAAAGCAAAGCTGGGGATATGGCGGCAGCCACTGAGGTGCTCAAAGCTATGGCGACACTGAACGTTCCAGCAGAAGCGGGACACTACGGGGTCTTAATCGAGAATCAATGCAAGGCTAACGCACACAATCGTGCTATCAAGCTTTTAGACATTCTAGTTGAGAAAGAAATCATTTTGAGGCATCAGGACACTCTGGAAATGGAGCCGAACGCTTATAACCCAATCATCGAGTATCTGTGCAACAATGGCCAAACCTCGAAAGCAGAAGTGCTTTTCCGGCAGCTGATGAAAAGAGGTGTCCAAGACCAAGAGGCCTTAAACAATCTGATCCGTGGGCATGCAAAGGAAGGAAACCCGGATTCTAGTTACGAGATTCTGAAGATAATGTCGAGGAGAGGTGTCCCTCGAGATGCAAACGCATATGAGCTGCTCATAAAGAGCTACATGAGCAAAGGTGAGCCTGGAGACGCCAAAACCGCACTAGACAGCATGGTCGAGGACGGACATGTCCCGGATTCATCGCTTTTCAGGTCAGTGATTGAGAGTTTGTTCGAGGATGGTAGGGTGCAGACCGCAAGCCGTGTGATGATGATCATGATAGATAAAAACGTTGGCATAGAAGACAACATGGATTTGGTTGCCAAGATCTTGGAAGCTCTGTTAATGAGAGGGCACGTAGAAGAAGCCCTCGGGCGTATAGATCTTCTGAACCAAAATGGACACTCAGCTGATCTCGACAGCCTTTTATCGGTCCTGAGCGAGAAAGGGAAGACGATTGCAGCACTGAAGCTGTTAGATTTCGGGTTGGAGAGAGATCTTAGCTTAGACTTTTCGAGCTACGACAAGGTGTTGGATGCGCTTTTAGGAGCTGGTAAGACTCTGAATGCGTACTCGGTTCTGTGTAAGATCATGGCGAAAGGAAGTGTAACCGATTGGAAAAGCTGTGATGATCTGATCAAGAGTTTAAACCAAGAAGGGAACACAAAGCAAGCAGATGTTCTTTCTAGAATGATCAAAAAGGGAGAAGGAATCAAGAAAGACAAGAAACAGAGCACAGTCTCTCTATAGAAACTTAAAGAATTGATTCTTTCTTAGTCTTTTCACTTTCATTGGTAGTTCAAGAACTTCAAGCTTCTGTTATCCAAATAAATCCTTTTTACGAAACAAGTTTCGAAGGACACGTTTGTATGTTTCAGTGCTTTTTGGTAGAAGCTGTATCGTTTTCTGATTTAGTTTTCTTAGCTACCGTTGTTAATTTTGTTTTTAAAATCATTTACAAAGATATTTTGTTTGAAAAGGATGTTCAGTTTTTTTTTTCCTCGAGCAAGTTGAATATCTGTGCTGGAACAAGAGTGTACAGTCGAGTTGAATCTTCCGTTGGCTTTTAGTTAAATATCTTATCTTCTCGTAGATTTTTTTTGCCTTAGCACGAGACGTGCCATCTCCACTGTCCATCCAAATTTCGACGGCTCAGATTTCATCTCATACATCATTTCATTTAAAATTATGACAAGTTGTTAGTAGATAACCAAACACAATTCAAGTGATAAAAAAGCACTTTATCACAAATAATATTTTGGAAAATTGAGATCTTCGTGTACACTCAAATATTCAATAAGTAAATACGAAAAGCATATTAAAAAAATATTGTAAGAGAAAATATATCATTTTTTGAGAAAATACATAATTTCAGAATATAGTTTCTTATGATTCTGAATTTTTTGAGAAAATTAAATTAAATTTACAAAACTAGATACAATTATTATTATTTTTAATATTAGAAGAAACAGAACATTTAGCAGGAAAAATAGTTTAAGGTTAAATCTGTGAATAAAAATCAGGGATGAGATATTTATGCAAAGCTTTCGTAGAGTTTTTTTATCTTCTTCATTTCGCCCATAAATATCAAACACACTGCTTCTTATCTCCACTCTCAAATCTCACCCAAAAACCCCTAAAAGCCTTATCTCTTCACTCCCTATCCCAATGGCTGCTTCAGCTTCGTCTCTCGCTCTCTCTACCTTTAACCCCAAATCCCTTCCTTTCTGCGTCTCCAGACCCGCCTCCGCTTCCCTATTACCTCCTTCCGTCTCTTTCAAACTCAATTCCGAATCCGTTTCCGTCTCCATCTTCGCTTCCTCCGCCGCCAAATGGAGCTCCGCCGCGTCTCGCTTCGTCCGTAACGTAGCGGTCACTGAGGACTTCGAGGTTGAAGAAGACGGCATTTTCGCCGACGATGCGGCGCCAAGGGAGCAATCCTTCTCCGCTGACCTCAAACTCTTCGTCGGTAACCTTCCCTTTGACGTTGACAGTGCAAGGCTCGCTCAGCTTTTCGAGAGCGCCGGAACTGTTGAGATTGTTGAGGTATAGAATTTAGGTTTTTTTCGGAATTTCATTTTGCTGATTGATGTGATGTCGAATTTGGGAGATATAACATTTGCTTAGATTAAATGATTGTCCTTTACGGTTTCTGTTGACAATTGGCACTAGCAAGAAGAGGTAAAGATAGTTTTTGTGTTGTTGAGATTAATGGGTTTTGGTTTTTTGTCTTTGTAGGTGATTTATGACAAAATCACAGGACGAAGCAGGGGTTTCGGATTCGTGACTATGTCTTCAGCCTCTGAGGTTGAGGCAGCTGCTCAGCAGTTCAATGGCTATGTAAGAAGATTACTTCTCTATTCTTTGATTGTTGATAATGATATGAATCTTGTATCCTTTCTTGTTGGTATGCGTTTATGTTTTGGTGTTTCTTTAATTTGTGAATTGTTGTTCTTTTTGTGCGTGTTTGTGTTCATTTCCACAATAGCAATGATGTCGTTATGGTGGATACTTAAGGTGTCTTGGAAATTTGAACTTGTCCTTAGATGAATTAAATCTTCAATCTTGTGTGATGTTCTGGCTTCTTAAGATAAAAACCGTAACTTTCTGTTTGTTGTTGTTCTTATTGCATAAGCTTCTGGTTGCTTTTAGTTAATAATCATTTTGATATTAAATTGCAGGAGTTGGATGGTAGACCCTTGAGAGTTAATGCCGGTCCTCCTCCACCCAAGAGAGAAGATGGCTTCTCTAGAGGACCCAGAAGCAGCTTTGGAAGCTCTGGTTCTGGATATGGTGGAGGTTCCGGAGCTGGTTCAGGAAACCGTGTTTATGTCGGTAACCTCTCTTGGGGAGTCGACGACATGGCTCTTGAGAATTTGTTCGGGGAGCAAGGAAAAGTTGTTGAGGCCAGAGTCATCTACGACAGGGACAGTGGTCGATCAAAGGGTTTCGGATTTGTGACATACAACTCTGCTCAAGAGGTCCAAAATGCTATCAGAACCTTGAACGGTGCTGTAAGTAACCTTTTCTCTATTACTCACACCTATATATATATATATATATACATACAATGCACTGAATCAAACAGCTCTTAATATACTTTTTATGGTGGCTTATAGGATTTGGACGGCAGGCAAATTAGAGTCTCGGAAGCTGAGGCTAGGCCTCCAAGGCGCCAATTCTGAAATGTAACAGGCGCTTCGAAGCAAATAGGGGTTTTGTGAGAGGATGGCAGTTTCGGGCGGTACTAAGCTCTTCGCCTATGTTTGTTGCATTGGATGCACCAATGGTCTTTTTTGAGAAACTTATAATTAAGATTGAGATTAAAAGTGGAGACCGTTTTCTTGTCTGTCTGAATGCTGCCATTGACTACTTCGCTTTGGTTTGATTCAGTTTTCACTCTATTTCGTGGTCTCTTCATATTGCTTCTCTATTTAACAGTCTTGTCTCGTTTTCGATCCCCCTGCCCATAATATGAATACGATGAGCACATTTGAGAACCTCCCAAAATACTAAAATCACGGTATCTAAACTGAACCAATATAGTATGAAGTGGTATGAACAAACTGGCTTAAATGTTATGGACCTAATATCAATACTTATACAAGTCAGTTGGTCAATGGATTCAATACCCAGTCGCTACCAATTCCTGGAGATGGGTTCTTATAAAGCCCAAATGTCATGGACATGATGTCAAAACTTGCCGATTCGAAACATTTGGTCCAAATACCTCTACGGTCGTAAACAAAATGTTAGTTCAACTGCTACGCATAGGCTGTTTCTATTCTACGAAAACCAAGTTTTCAAAGTGTTTTCCAAAAAAAGTTATGATGCTTAACTGAGTCATGGAACAAATAGATTAGATAACTGGATGTTTTCGAAAGAGTATGGCCAAATACGGTATAAGATTCGAACAGGTTTTTGTAAGTTGAGCTCGTGTGTTAGTTACTTAGTTATTTTAGCGCTATAAAATTGGATGTTATAAACAAACATGACCAAACTTGAAAGGAATTTTGAGTAGTTATTTTAGCGCTAAAAAAAAAAAAGAGTACTACTAGACTAGAAATTTTGATAATTTTAAAAGACTATCACTTGCGATATGGTCTCAAGTATGTTAGACCATGTATCAATCCTCTACAGAGTTTTATACCAGAGATGAACGATGTCGCCATAGTCGTTTAAACCAATATTTAATTTCAAAATAATCTAATACGTTCATTATACCCTAATAAATTAAGATGGCTTTATATGTAGTAGATAGTTATATAGAATTCTTATGTGTATATGTACACGCATATGTGTAACAGGTTTTTCTTTTTTTTTTGCAGAAACGTGAAAGATACAATTTGGAAGTAGTTTATGATGATGAAGGGCATCACTTGCTTCCATTGCCAAAAGACGTAGTTCTCTTGGACCTCTTGGTTATGATGCTATCTACAAAACGTTAGTATCGTCCTTTATAATGTTGTTACATAAGTATAATCTCGATCTTTCAACAAAACACATACTGTATTTATTTTCTGTATCGTGGAAAAAAAATATAACCGAATTGAAAATGTTTTGGAAAAAAAATATATGTGTGTAAGAGAATTACATTTACTTTGTTCGAGCTTCTTCAGCAATTAAAAGACAATACAACAAACGCATTGCTAGAATTATATTTTTTTGCTAAAAAAAAAAAAGAACACCCACGATATGATCAACAAATAGCTATGTGGTCGTTCACTATCCAAGACTCGTCGTCATGCGTGAAGCAACCAATTCATATCCTATTTGCAATACTATTAAAACTCCGTGGCTCCTGACACATTAAATATCTTGAGTTTCTTTAACATGTCGACACATCTCTAACATTTGTCGGATACGATCTATCTCGTCTTTAATTCGAAGGAAACATTGAGAACTAAATAAAACGAAGCACCTACACTATTCTAAAATAAGAGTAATGGAGAAAATTATTATATGTTCATTTCCCATAGAAATCATGACATGAAGTAATTAGGGTAGTACATGTAACTTTGCCACACGAAAAAAAAAGGATTGTACATGTAAACCCCCATGAGTTATTATGGGCCATAGCTTTGTATCTGGTCAGCGTAAGTAGACCCAATTTGACTTATAAACCTCAAACATTGGACATGAACATGTTCAGTGTTTGCTCCTTTGCTATGTCCTATAAAATCCATTGCCCCTTGGCAGACACTTTTACTCTTATATATGTAGCAAACTTATAATGTCCATGCAATATTTTTTATTATTTCTTATCAATGCGATTTCATGTCTAAAAAGGATATTCTACATATATCTATTCACTATTTCAGAAAGGTGACTTGACATGCAATATTAGGTCTCGGTATTTCACTATCTTTGATTGATATTGTATGACACGACCAATTTTTTTTTTTGAAAAAAAGCCATATGAAATATTTACATGGTGTAAACAGGTCCAACTAAATATTATTGAATTGTAGGCGCTCAATATGAACTTCATATATTTAAATAAAATGAGAAAAAAAAATGTAATGGGGTATAGAGATGGCCGAAAGGTTGAGGCAATTGAAAGGAATGTAAGATAATGTCCCAAAAACAAATGACAAAAAATTGAAGTTCCAAAAGATAAAAAGGCAAATGAATGTTCCTTTGCTTCTTCGCTCCATCATATTTCCACCACTCTTCCTGCCTTCAAATTAGCTCATTTCCTCCTTCTGTCTTCAGTAACCCCTTACGTACATGTATAGATATTACTCACACATATTAATCGTATATTTCTCGTTTATATCTTCAAAATATATATATATATATATGGTCGCTATGTTTTGGCCATTTTAAAGTCCATATTCGCACCGTCCATCATAATCTGTTCATGCTGATTACTGGTTGAGAATTATAGTACGGAAACACAATGCGAAACATAAACACAGAAAATCATTGTAACCTAAATGGTTAAATATCATGAATTAAAGTTTGATTGCGTGACAGTTTTTTAAACATAAATAATTAGAAATAGTCGTTTTTCTAACTCCTTTTGTTTTTTTACTAAACTTCTTGAACATGTAGCACATTTAGTTGACATATATTACACATTACAATGTATAATATAACTGTAACTGACATTGTAACATCCTTATCCCAGGCTTTCTAAAAAAACTAGAGAAATCGGGCATGTTAGGTTGGCCATCTAACCACATTCGGTCAGACGCCTGGTTTGGTCCAGATGGTGAGCCTCAGGTCTGCCAGGATCGAAAATGCCCAGGTAACAATCAACAACATAGCCTTAGGCTGATCTTTCACCTACACCTGATAAGACAAAGGAAGAGGAGGGGTGAGTATTGGGGATTACTCAGTGAGAACCAGACCAGGCTCCCTTCCCACTCATTTATTTCCAACCAGCATGTCAAAAATAAATCCAACAAACAACACACAAGCATCCTAGCGATGCACAAACGACTAGCAAGCAATTGTGATGTCTCCAACCTTGCCAGGTCACACAGACAGGCACTGCCAGGTCACACAGACAGGCTCTACATCGCCAGGTCACAAAGACAGGCACCAGGTCACACAGACAGATTCAACATTGCCAGGTCACACAGACAGGCTTCCAGTCATATAGACTCCGGAAGGATCTGCGTACCTTCCCCCACCGTTGAACTACCACTTTGGTCACACTGACAGCAATAGCCCAGCAAACAAGTCCATACCTCGGCACATCACCACCGAGATGAACACCTGATCTGGCTACACTACCAATAACTAACCACACATCAGGGTGAACAATCAAATATGCTGGTTCTTCCTCTAATGAGATCCTATATCATTTCATTAGATTCACACATGGATCTAGCTAGATGCACAAAGAAACATCCTAGGCTCATCAGATCTAGACTCCACACACCAGAAGAAGACAAAAGAATAAGAAGAAGACCCTAGATCTAATCCTCACCTTAGCAACAAAGTAGATCTGGACACCCGACACAAAAACGACGATATCTCCTGGCATAGATCTCCGATCTGGATGAACTCGGTTTCCTTGGAAAGCTGACACTCGGGGCTACAGATTGATAGGTAGCTCGTCTCGTGGATCCACACGGTTCGTCGGTAAAACGTCATGGAAGGAGGCGGCGGCGGCTAGGGTTTAAGAGAGAAGAAAGAGGGAGCATAGCTGATGGAGGAGGAGAGAGCAGCGGCCAAGGGAGAGAGGAAGAGAAAGAGAGAGAGATAGAGGGAGAGGGCCACGGTGAGGGAGAGAAAGAGAGGATGGCGTGGCTGAGAGAAAGAGAAGATGAGAATGTGGCTAGGGTTTCCAAAATAGAGAATGAGAGATTAGAGAGGTATTTATAGTTAGGGTTAATTTAGATGGGCTGAACTTAATGGGTTGGATTAATGGGCTCGCAGGAGATTAAAAAGAGATTCAGGGTGGATTTAATTAAGAAAAATGTTTTAATTTAAATAAACCGGAAATTAATTTTTAGTAACAACCGACCCGGCGGGTCGGGGTGTTATAATCTTTCCCCCTTCAAGGGGATTCGTCCCCGAATCCTAGGGAGAAGTTCCTGAAAGGAAATTCGAAAGCTAAAGACCAAGAGAAATAAATGCACAAGGGAGGAGAGGAGCTTGGTCGCAGAAAGTGAAAGGAGTCAGGAATGAGATCAGGAAATGGAAGCAAGAAATGAAATGAATCCAGAAGAAAAAAATCGGAGTTGGAATCGAAAGGAGAAACAGGAATAAAAGTTCAGAAGGGGATTAGGAATGGAACCACAAGGAACTATGGCATTAGGGAAGATAGAGGTTAAGAAGAAAAAGACAAGAAGAAAAATCAGAAATGAAACAAGAAAGAAACAGAAATGAGGTTTGAAGGAAGAGCAAAAATGTAAGCAAAAATGGGACTAAAAATAAAATCAGAAGCGAAATTAGAAATGAACCATGGCACAAGGAGAAATAATGACTAAGACGAAAGAACAAGAAGGAAATCATATAACCCATATATGGCGCCAAGAAGGAGTTGAAGGCTAAAGGTTTAGAACGCAGAGTGATAGACAGAAACGTGAAGGAGGGAGAGTTTAAGGTATGATGCAATAAAACATTTTGAGTAAAATCCAAAAAAACCATTTGATTAATGTGACAAAGAGGAATATAACATTTTTTTTTTAGAGGGAAAAATGAAAACAACTTTTGCATAGAATCTAACTAATTCATTCCAAACAAATAAAAAATAGAGTTCTACTCCTTTGAAAACTTTTTTTTTAAATATAAAAAGGAAACAATCAGAGGGAGGACTTTATTCTGCTTCACTACAAGACGAAATGACAACCACCTCTTTGCTAAACTTCACTTGAGGAAAATGAGTGAACTTCTTGTGCGCAGACTCTCGGGTCTTGAACAGAGGTCTAAGGTAAAAGGAAGGAAGGAAAGGAAAAAGAAAGCTATTGGTTGATAAGGCTGAGCAGGATTGGATACACACTAAGGCCACCGTGAAATCCTCTGAATCCGGATAAGAGT